AAAAGACGACGACACGATGACACGACCGACAGGTTCGGCCAACAAACCCATGGGGGAGGAACAGCCATGCAAACACCACCGTGGCGCCCGTTCTTGGGGACTGTTGTCCTTCCAAAGGTCGGTCGCCCCATCCGTTGGAAACGAAACGGAGGTCGCCAGGAACGGAGGTCGCCATGGTTTTGAAACGAGGTCAGAACAAGCAGATGGCTTTGGTCCTATTTTCGATAGGTCGCCAAGTAAGTGTTTGAGGCTCGCCAGGGACTGTGTTTGCCTCTCCTCTATGTTTGCGCTGTTGCGCTGTTGCATCTTGCTTCGCCTCGTCGAAGTGACTGTGTACGAGAATAGAGAATTCGGAGTGCTCGGCGAAGAGCATCTTGATCAGGACGATCTGGGGGAAGGAGGTGGGACCCTGCACTCGAGAACGCGCTAGCGGGCGCGCACTCAGATCCACTCAGATGCCGAGGAGACAAAAGCGAGGCCTGCTTTGAGGTCCACTTCCTTAGGGCTCCTAGCCTGCTTCCGAAGGCAGGACCGACCAATTGCCCTGAAACACCCACCCCTGGCAGCTTCTCAAGGGGTAGTTGGAACCTGCAGGGATTGTGGGTTTATTTGATTGACATGTCAACTGACTTACTCGCAACTATGTCGAATCCTTTGACCAGACTGACTTCTGGGTACCAGACTGTCACTGGCGGCTCGGTTGAGAGCTGCAGAATCACGTTGGATTCCAAGGAGATTCGTTTGCTTCTTCATGTAGATTCTGGCTGCTCCGTTGCAAGAACACCCCCCGACCGCGAGGGCCAAGCTCTGTACCAAGCATTGGCAACGGATCTCCGGATTTCTCCGCTGGTGCTGTGGATGATCCAAGTTTTTTCATTGAAGAGCGAGGGTATTGCAATGTGCTTTTCTTTCATGACTCGGGGTTGGACAACTCAGGTAACAGTCACAGTGCCAAAATCGTCATCCTTGCTGAAGGGTAGAGGTCTTTTTGCAGCAAAAGGATCCACTGTTGCTGGATGATGGGGGATAGTAGAAAGGAGGCCCAGAAAAACATCCTTTCCACCTGATCACCTTCGCACACGAGCAGCCATAAGTGCCCGTTGTGCCCCGGAAATTTTGACGGAAGACGCAGAACATCCAACCGGCAGACCCGCGACCTCACGATTGAGGCCTTTCAGAGACTTTCAGAGGGAGCCTCAACAGGTTCCGAAGACATGGGATCGATTCAAGGAGGCAGAGTGTGTAGACAAAAAATGACAAAAAACCCTGTGTTTTTCGGTGGTCAGCCTCTTTTAGGATGGCCTTCCATTGGGGACTTTGGGTCAATGGTCAATCCGAGTCACTTGCTTTGATCCAAGCCTTTGGACACTTGGCTTTGTTAAAAAGGCCCCGAACTACTCCGGAATTTCAGAATCCTCCTCTGCCTCCTCTGCCTCCTTCATCATCAGCATCAGCATCAGCATCAGCATCAGCATCATCATCATCATCATCATCATCATCATCATCATCATCATCACCACGTTAATGTCTGCCAGCGTCACTCCCCGCACTATCCCGGGGCAGAATGCCCGGGCGAGAATGGCCGCGGCCTCACGCAAAAGCTCCCGTGCAAGTGGCGGGCAGAGAATGTGCTGTGTCGAGTTGGGCTATTCATCTCTTTTTCTTGCTTGGAGACTATTGCCTTCTTGTAGAGCGACAAGCACGTGGTTTACGATGCTATTCTCTTTTGAGACGAATCAACATCATGTGTGAAATGTGTTTTTTTTTCTTGGGTCACCAGGCAGGTTGGCTTACAACATGGAACTGATTAAAGAGAAGGTGAACACAAGCCAAAGCTTGCTCCTTCTTGCGATCTTTGTTTTCATTGACACAACTTTGATTATTCAAGGTGCAACATGGTGGAGTGTTTCTTTCGACCATTGTTCGAGTGGCACAAGCATGGCCTTGATCCACTTGTTGATTCATGGCAGGAGACCTTTTGGCACTCTTTTCCCACTTGGAACGGTTAGACAACGCGAATCGCCTCCAACTGGCAGGGCTGTTCGGAATTTCCACAACCAGGGAAGCTGTCAGTTCAATCTTTGATGACCTTTCCCACCTTTCTCATCTACATGCAAGCAGAAGGAAACCCACTAGCGATGGCTTCCGACTCCTACTAGCGATGGTAAAACAACGATTTAGAGATCGACATCACAACTCTCACTCCTCACTGCTGTTTTGACTCTCGTGCCGCGTGCCTTGTTTTCTCCACAGCACCGCCCGTTGGAGCAATGAGGACCGGAAACACTGTGAGGTCAGGCTTTGAATCTTCCTCGACCGGACGACCACGTGGACGAACACGTGGACGAAAACATGCTGCCGACGAAAACGTGCAGCACTTCCCCGCTGACGAGCTTTGCAGCATGCCAATCGATCCGAAGACAATGTGAGAAGAGGGATTGGGGTGGTAGCTTGGCTTGATGATTACAAGTATGTGGACAGAAGATGACAGAAGCGTACCCTGAGCATTTGCAGGATTCCCCACAAACAGGAGGTCAGGATGGTGGGTTGGGATCCCCACCAATGGATAAACAGCTGTAGGTAGATGCTACTCATCGCATTTTGCGAGTCTACCCCTCCAAAAAGGATGGATCTGAACTCTTGTGACATTCGATGTCTGCAGAGCAGTGACTTCTAGCGGTTCCACTGCAATTGGATTGGCCAATGCATAGGTTTTGCTTCCAAAGATTGAGGCTTTGCTTATTTCTCCAAGTTGCAAGGCTGGAGACAATCCCCTAAGTGTGGTGCGACCCCAACAACGATCCAAACTCAGAGGACGTCTGTACAGTGCAGAGCTTGTGGGGGGCATCCGCAATGTGACACGACCATGTGCGACGCTGGTTGCCGATGGGAGGTGCCGGAAGGGTTGCTCTGCTCTTCAGAGATCGAGTCTTCTCATGGTTTAAAGGTGAACTTCAGGTCAAGGGGGGAGTTGTATCGAGAAAAAATAAAAACGACCGGATGGGTTCTCTTCACACCCTTTGTTCTTTGGGATGGCAGGGTTTTGATACACCTTTCGGTCTACCGTCCTGCCATCCCTTCCAGCCTATCGTAGACCGCCATCCATTCGCTCCAGACCGTCCTTCCACCTCCGTTCTCGTCCCGTTCGGGACCGGTCCGGGTGACCCGGGGGACCCGGTTCCGGTGCCGAAACGCTACGGGACTCCGAGGCCAAACGGCCATCGGGCCACTGACTCTGACGGTTTTTTGGATCCGACCGCTTCCGACGCAGCGAGCAGAACCCGGAGCAGAACCCGTCTGTCTTCCGTCCCGTTTCACGACGCATCGACCGCGCGTTACGGGTCGCGACCGTCGGGGGACGTCGGGCACGGGTACGTGTCAGGTTTCGTGCCGTTGGGGAGGTGGAACAGTGGGCCAAGTCGCTGGGTAGCCCTCGGTTTGGAGGACCCGAAGCTACATCGTTTTCTAGACCCTAGGATTTCCTGCGCAGGCATTTCATAGGCTGAATCCCGGAATCCGCGAGCAAACCGAAGGCTAACACACCGATGTGACCAGCAGAGGAACGCCAAGGCCTTTGTCCAAATGTTTTTCCGCAGGTCTCTCGGAGGTGCCTCCTGGCCGGCACAGCTGTCCCTAGCACATCTGACTGAGGTCTAGTGTGTCCAGGATGCAAAAAGGAGCCCGAACCCCGAACCCGTCTCGAGGGGCCTGGGAATTTTGTGAAGTCCGGACTCTGACTAGATGACCCGAGTCTAGGAAGATCCTTGACTTCCTTTGGTGGTGCCCAAATTAGTCAAACTGGACTTCTAGGGCCTACCAGGGATTTTAAACTTTAAACTACCCTGGGGGGCTATTCATCCGGAGTTTGCATTACCAGTTGCGAGTTGTGACACTTTTCAACTTGCCTCTCGCATACCCCCACTTCAACCCACTCTCGCACATTGACTGACATGAAACACGAAACCGACCGTTCTCCTCGGCCAACTGTGAAATTCCCAAGTGACCCACATTTGACCTATGTGTTGAAAATCACCTCATTTCTATGAACCCCGGTGCGCGTGTACTCTCAAGGCGTAGAGATAACAGGGTTAGTCTTAGTAGGGCTGGGCTGATCCTGTACACGAGCGAATCCATTGAATCGGGTGAAGACTCTAAGCCTTGTATGCAAGGTCTACAAGGGATCGCAGGCTTTTCATTTCTAGGATTCTAGGATACAACCTCAGGATACCTCAGGTATATGTTCAACTTGCTGTGGGAAACCATCCTTTCAATGGTGAAGAGATCTTGTTCTCTACCTGCTGGTGGGTGGTGGGTGGCGGAGGGTGTGGTTTGGAGACATGTTGATGACCCAAAGCATCCGCATTTGGACCTGGCAGGCCATTGCGGGCCCAAATCATGGCTTGGGATTGTTTGACATGACCCGTGAGTCATACACACCCGCTGCCCTTTTGAAAACAATGGTCGGGCAACATGGTTGTAATTTGATCCCGCTGAAGGACCCCACAAGTGTGGACTTGAAGTAGTAGCGAAAAAGCATCCGACCAGTTCGAGTGGGTGAAAACCAAGTGGAGGAGGCAACTCCAGATGAGGCAACTCGGATTGTTTCATGGAATTTGAAGTAGAACTTACTAGATCCATTTGTTTATGATTCTTATATAAACATTTGTCGGATTTGTTTGGATCCAATTGATTTTTTGTGATGCATTTGTCAGATTTGGGGACGATTTTTTGATGTTGATGATTCTCACTGTTCTATTAAACCCTAGTGTACTCATCAGCTTGCTTGGCTCAAGTTTTACATTCTCAGGGATGCCATGTTGACTTGAGTACCATTTTGGGAAACTGGGGGAACATTTTCTTGGAACATGGCACTCATCATGCGTCCTGTATCACGACCATCGGACTGTTGGTAAAAAGTTGGAAGCAGCTCTTCCCCACAAGGACGCTACTAGGAGCAAAGAACATCGCTACTAGGAACAAGAAGCTACGAACGGGGCTCCTGGCCTTATTACGAACGGAGCGTTCGGACGCTACGAACGGGGCGAAACTGGCCCTACTAGGAAGAAGTACCGCATGAGCTCGGGTGGATGCGGCTCGCTCTCTTTTCTCCACTGAGCTGTGTCCTTTGGAGTCCTCGGGCGCGGGCCTCCGTGGCGCTCCGCGGTCGGCCAAGGTCGTGGTGAACTTGGTGTGTATGAGGTCCCATGAGCAGTAAGAGTCAGGTAGAGAAGGAGACTCTATGGTTGGAGACCACCGGGTCACCCACTGGTCGTCAATTACGGAAGACCATAGCAAAATCTATAGGTAGGCTAGGGTGTGTCGTAGTACCAGTGTAGTACTGTAGCCGTCGGTAAAAACACACTATCACTACTTTTGAGATGAAAAGGCCTGGGTGGGCCCTGGTGGGAGAGACCGTCAAACTCTTAAGTGTCCTTTGAAGGTGGTGAAGCCTTGTTCAACGCTTCAACAGGAGCCAGTTTCCTCTATGTGTGTCGTCGGTGTGGTCAACTGGGATCCCGTTCGGCCCTTCGAAACACCATGGGAACGCCATCGGAACACGTGGGGTGACATCTTTAGTAAAACAACGACTGTCCGGTGGCTTTCAAGGCTTCTTTTACATCCATGGTGGGCCAGGAAGCCCCCAAGGCCCTTGCTTGTTCGGATTCCGACACCTGCTGGCGCCCAGGTTTGGTGCCAAGAGCCGCCGCCCAGGTGACGGCTCGGCGCGCGCCGGTCGCGACTGTCGCACACCGCGCGACCGTCGGGGTGGGTGGACCTCGGTGGGGCGGGTGAGGTGGACTGGACTTTCCCACCTCCGGGTCCGTACCGACCATCCACTCGCGACTGGGAAGACTGGGTGCCTGGGAAGACTGGAGGCGAACGAGCTGAAGCCAGTTCCGGCCGGGGTCTCCTGGTCTCCCTCGTTGACCACCTGGGTTCAACTCCTTCCTGCCATAGTCCTCTTTGAAACATCTGAAGCCGCTGCCATAGTCCTCTGGGATAATCCCTAAGGCTGAGGCGGAAATTCCATGCGCGAGAGGTGGAGCCGCCCTATACCTGGATCTTCCAACTGTGCAGAATTTCTACCTTTTCATCGATTGAATCAACCAAAAGGCATCAATTTTGCACAGTTGGAAGATCTAGGTATATCGCCCATCCCATATGACTACCAAGGGTCCAATGTTGGTCTCTCAAGCTCTTTCTTGGGCAGAACAGGTCGGCTTCGTCGGGCCCCCGACCGGCTTGGACTCGTCGTCAGAGTCGGCGCCGCGGCTCGTCGCTCGCGAGCAGCGAAGGATCCATCTGGTCACGTTCACTTCCGTGCGGGCCGCCGAGGGCGGGCGGGCGTGAGGCGAACAGAAGCACCGGCCGGTGGGTGGTGAGTGGGTGGGCGTGGTCCAAAAACGGGTCCTTCAGAAGGTGCTAAGCACTGAAGGCCAAAGCAGAAGGAGGGACCATTGAGGGATTTCTGGGCTGTTTTGGGGGGTGTTGATGAGCCTTGGAGGCATTGGCACTGGTTACTGAAATCCGAAGCCACCAAAACTGGACGGTTTTCAACCGTCTATCCTCTACCAGGAAGGGGTAGCCATTTTGTTCTTGATGGTGCCAGACTCTTTTGGCCTTCTACCTTCGAAATCTCACACCACAGTATCAAAACTTTCTGTTGGCGTCTTGCGCAAATCGAGTTATTCACTGTGGCCATGACATGAACAGTGGGTCAATGCATCGCTACATGAGCTCCTTCCTTTTTGATGTCTTTCGTACCAAGAGGGCCATGTGTCTTCACGGCTGTATCATCTACCATTGCAACAGCTGAAAGGTATCGAAATTCACCTATCTAGACCCCCTGGTGATAGATAGAAGTTTGTAATGAACAGGAGATCCCCCCGATCCCCAACGTAGAACACGTCTTGGAACAAATGACACCACGATACCACGCGGGGATGAAACATAGCTTGCCATCACCCTGCAGTCGAACTACACGAGCGGAGCACTGGAACTCAGCCGCCGCTGAGGACCCGAACTACCAGCGTGCCTTTGAGGCGTCCTTGACCGCGAAGGCGTCCGAAGTTGGACCCGACTTTTTCGTTTTTCCGAGTGTCAAATGAGGTATGCTTCGACTCCAAAATGGGGTATGGATTTCGAGGCAGACCAACACAAGACTGACACACATTTCTGATTTGGAAATCCCCCGGACGTTGCGCCACATGCCACCGAAATCCCCCGGAACGTCCGAACGTGCAGTGTGTCGTGCAACACGTGTGCCGGGTGGTGCCAGGAAGAGTTCGCGGCACACTGGGGATATTCCTGGGAGGCGCGGCGGTTCCGGTCGAAGTTCGGGTGAAGCCTCCAGAGCTCACTCGATGGGTGGAGTTTTTGCTTGAGAGCGGGTGGCTTTCTTCGTGAGGCATCACCGGATGCTGAGTTCTTTTTTCACGTGACGGACCCCAAAAAGGATGCCTCGTTGGGTTTTTGTGGTAGGGGGTGCTGGGCCACATGTTTTCGTTTAGGTGGTGAAGTGACGTGTGGAAAGGTCGGAACTTTCAAGACCATTTGTTGCATGGCCGGAAGTGGGTGTGGGTGTGTAGCTCATTTCTAGGGAGACTTTGGAACAAACATACACCTGGGAGGAGACCCACATGGAACCGGGCGAACGGCATGGACCAGACGTTGAGATCCGATGGTTCTTTCCATCTACAGCTCAATAGTTTTCAGGTTCCATGTGTCTCTCGGAACCCGCAGTTCGTGTACCCTCATGTCGTGTCGTGTCGTGTTGAACACGCAGTTCTGCCCCAAGTCGTCGGGATGGTGGAAAACCACCGGAATCTTCAGTCCAGCGTCGCGACGTCCTCAGAGTCGTTGGTTTGTTTGGCGACTGGCACCTTTAGGGAAGAACAGCATCCATTTGTCGATGTTCCCTGAAATATACCCAACCCATCCTCTGGCTAGCAAGACTCCCTCACCCATATGGTGATGGATATGAAATCAATTCTGGGGAAAGACACTTGATTTTCTGAACAGGCTGAGTCAGATGAGAACCAACCAGCCTCCGCATGTTCGGTGCCGGTTTTCGCGCGCGCGCGGTCTTCGTTCGTTGAAGGGGGGGTGCGCTGGTTTCCGACGGCAGGTGTTCAATGACAACACCATCGACTGTCCCTTGGTTTGGAGATCAAGCAGACGACTTGGTCGTCCATCGAGTTGTGAGTCCCGTGGTATTTTGAGGGGCCCGTTTGATCAACCGTTACAGCTCATGGAACACACACTCCACATGCCTCCACTCCTAGGAAACCACCCTGAAGGGCACGTGACCAGACGACCTGGGACGAGGGACGCCGGAGGTCTGGACCGGTCGCCGGCGGAGGTGGACGGTCATGCCAAAGCAGTACGAAAGATGGAGGTTTTATCTTACGTTCGTTCAGTACTCAGGTCCGAACCTGGTCTTGATGACCTCCTTAAGTATTGGTTTTGTATGACCATCCCCAGTCAAATGAGGTCAGTTCCTGACTTGTAGGGCCTGTAGGGTCAGGAAAAGACCTGGTGAAAAACGCCAAGCCGGTGACCTGGACTTGTAGGGCCCGATTCTCTTCATTCCTCATCTTTGGGTCTCCTGTCAAGCTAGGGCAGCTACAAGACCCAGCCAGAACCTTGGTAACCTGGTCACCTGTGAGCATCCTGGTAGGAGAGAAGCAGGTTATGGTCTTTATCAGCGAAACTCTTAGAAAGACGCAAGCCCCCGTCCTTTGTTTTGACGTTTCTACAGCTCGTGTCGTGGTTCGTGAGGCAGGGATTCTTCTTTGAAGCTTGAGAAGGGACACCCCCTGTCGGTGGCGCAAGAGAGGCACGTCGAACCTGTGAATTGGATTAGAACACCGAACTTGTTGTTGTGAGGCCGCGGTGGAACTTGGATACATCCAGCTCCACCGAATTCGGAGGCGGGATATTTCTTTTGAACAAATGCGAAACCAGCAGTTTCCATGTCCAATTTGGAGAGGCCTTTTACACAGAAGCCCTAGTGCCCTGGCAGATGGCATCAACTTCGACAATCACTTGAATGGGCTTTTCTGTGCACACCATTCTCTTGCCGGGTTTCGCGGAAAAGAGGTGATTGCTATTTTACCGGGAAACGGTTTTGTTTTGTTTCTTTCCGGCTTCCGAAACAAGCCAAGCTTGGGTCGTATGCCATCGGTTCGACCCTCGAATCACCCCCAGCCGTCTGCCCCACCAAAAACCACGCCCGAGGTGACCAGTTCCGTCCCTTCCGCTGGCGAGGGGACTTTCGCTACTGCAAGCTGCAGGCGGGAGGAAGCCTCCATCCGGAGCAGGGCGAGCTCGCTAGGGGACAGAGAGGGTCAGAAGGGTTATGAAGGGGATGGTACAAAGAGGTACCAGATGTGCCATGTGATGCTTCCACGCGACGTACAGAGAGATATGCACCTCACCATCGAAGAAGATTCCGAAGCAGATGTTTCCCAGGTTTGTTCTCCGTACCTTTGCTCAGGAGAAGGTACGGGTCCAGCCCCGACCGACACCTCCAGCGTTTTCAGGAGCCAACTGGACCCAACGACCCCGACGTGAACGACCCGACTGGCGGACCGGCCAGACCAGACGTCCATCGTTTTCAGCACCACCCAGACGTGGCGAAAACAGAGGTGTCTCGACGTGGAGGGTGCGAGACGTGGAAAACGTCCACCTTTCGATCTCCGGGTCGTCGGAACCCGGGGGTTGCAGTACCCAAACAAGATCACCTATAGTCTCCAGCCAGTCCCTGTCGTACAACGCGACCTGTCTGGGACTGGACTGCCGCCCCAGAAAGGCTCCCCCAAGTCACCACCCCTGGCCGTTTTGAAGGCAGTCCGGCAGTGTTCTGGAGCGTCTGGGTAGTTCGAAGATCCCCCACGTTCAGAATGTCGAAGTCCCAGACACTACGATCATCTCTCTTGAAAAAACCATCCCCAGACCGACCCCAGACCCGCCCACGCGGTGTCTCGACGAGGTGTTCGTTCTTCCTCCACGATCTCCACGTACGCGCGCCGCTGCGCGCTCCGTTTTCGGAGGCCTTGAAGACGATCTGGAGCCGTGTGAGGCGAGCGATGGTGGACGCACCTGCCGGCATCGAAGGTGTCTCTACAGAAAGTCTTCCAAAAAGCATCGACCGGGCACCTGCTTTCAACTGGACAAATGATTGGACCAGGTGGGTTGTTAGGTGGGTTGTTGCGTTTGTTGTTGGACCTATTTTCTCAACTTTCTCCCTACAGGAAAGGTACAGGAAAGAAGATTGCCCAGTAAGAGTGTGACAAAATCAAATGAGTGGTTCCTAACCGGTTTGGGATCGCCTCAGGATCTATATCCGTACAAGTCCAAAGACCCAGTATTAACCCATTTTTTGTTTACATCCTTAAGTAATGTTTTGATATGACCACGTCCAGTAGAAAAAATGAGCTCATTGACCTGTAGGCTATGTGTTCGCATCTTGACCTTCATCAGTCTCTATGTCCAGACGCTTCAGACACCGCACGCACGCACTCAGCCGCACTGCACTCGACGGCAGGAAGCTCCAGAAGTCCGAGACGCAGCTGCCGCCCCGCCGTGCCCCGACCCAGAGGGCGCGGACGGAGGACGCAGGGGACTCGTCTTTGAGGACCAGAATGAGATGCCAACAAAACTATGCTTAAGAGGAGAGAGGATCGCCAGACCCACACCCCAAGGTGTGTGTCTTGCAATGCTCTGTTGCACTGCCTCGAAACGCAGCAGAAACCGTGACACCCGTGACACCCGTCCCTCCCGGGTCCGGGCGAGCAGCTCGCGTCGGATCCGGTCGAGCTGGTGGAGCACCAGGTGAACCCGGTCGACTTCCGGTCGAGCAGGTCTGTCCCATTTCAACCAATGGGACGGCCGACCTGGTTTTTGTAGATGCTTGAAAGCCGGAATAGGATCCCACGCGAATCAGAGGTCATGTCGAGTTGTGAGGAGTCTTGTCAGGAGTCGTCAGGGGATCACGATTTCAGCATGAGTGGAAAGACGTGGCCCCTCTCAAATGAAGTGGATGTCTTGGAGGAAGTCTTCGCCCCGTGATTTCATGAGCCTTCCGTCTTCCGTCTTCAGGTTCACATCGTTTCGATTCCTTAGAATCGAATGACACAGACGACTCGACGACCAAACACATGATCTTTCTTTGGAAGAGATAACTCAGCCGGCTGCCGGCGCAAGCCACAACATGGCTTCTGAATTTGGGGGTATCAACAATTTCATTTCTGCTAGGTTTACCTAGGGTATAAAAGGACACAGATATATGATGCGAGGGAGAAAAACATGACACTCCTGGCACCTGAGCGCACCTCAGGTGACTACATCTTTTGGCACGATGTTGGTGGCCTAGCCCAACACATGCGCGCGCGGCCCACTACGTTTTCGGGGAATGAAGGGATCAGGTGATGTCCTGGCCAGGAGGATGAGAGTTCGTTCGTTCTGGTTGGCTTCTTTCCCCTACTACAAGTCAGTTTGACCTGATTTTACTGCGGATGCTCGTCATACAAAACCAATACTTAAGGAGGTCATCAAGACCAGGTTCGGTTGTACTGGGTCTTTGGATGTAGGGTTCCCTTCTTTTTCCATCCCCTTTTGCTTTGCGGCTCTTCCAAAAGACTGGGGATGGGTGGGTTCCACCCAGACTTCGTTCGCCAGCTCGCGAGCTGGTCGCGAGCTCCTGCGAGCTCCTGGAGGGGTGTCGGACCGGTGTTCTCACCCATCCCGCGACCGGAGCGATGTGGCTGGGGACAGAGCCGCGCGGAGACGCGGACGACAGAGCGCGCTCGGTCCGCGGGGTTTTGACAATCCGAGCGCCCAGTGGATCCGAAATCAAGGACCTCTCCCCAAGCCAGTGGATCCAGAATCCCAAACGGGATCCAGTCGTACCTTCTCCTCAGGTTCGGTATGACTGGACCCTCAAAACCTACATAAGAGTGTCTCCTTCCGAAACCGTACCTGAGGTTCGGTACAAAAACAGATCCCTCAAAAATAGCAGGACCACAAGTCACCCCCCCTTTCTCTTTCTCCTCAGGTCCGAAGGTCCAAACAGTCCGGACTGGTCCGGCAAGCGTGGGTGCGAACTAATGCGCTGAGGTGGACACCCACATGATGAAGCCGGAGATCCCTTTGACCCACTTCCTGGAACGCGCCAACTATACGCCCGGCCGCCGAAACTTCGTGGGTGGGTCCGGTCCGGTCTGGCGCACGACGACCGGAACGACCCTGACAACGACCGATGCAGGTCGACCGTGCTCGGTGCTGGGAGGACCCATTCGATTCGTCTTCGGATTTGGGACGACGGGAGCTTCTGGTGCTTCACTTGAAGCAAAGGAAGGTAGACGGTAGACTCTAGACTCTTGAATATGTTTGAACCCCCGATAGGGAGAGGTTTTTTCAGTCCAAATCGGGGTCTTTTGTTCGCCCTTCGAGGGGCCTGGTCAACCCAGAAGAGAGAGAGGAGAATGGGCACCCCTATCCTCCAAGTTCGGCACCCCGTCTTGTGACTGCTGGGAGACACCGTTTTTGGAGTCCTCCTGCGGGTTTGGGAGGCACACTGTGCTTGCTCCACCCTTTCGTCCAAGCGAGCGAAGCGCCGGTTTCACGGCCCGTTCGAGGTGTCACGGGGCTTCGCACGCCGGTACGTTCACGGTGTCGCGCGTGCTCCTTCGAGGCCCATGGTCTTCACTGAAAATGCCTTGTCCCTGAACAACGGGGTCTTCTTCCTTCAGGCCGGGAGAGGCTGTGTGTTACTGTCAGCTTCGTTGGTCGTCAGCTTCGCTGGGGATGATGGGTTATGGTTCGTTGATAGGAAGAGGGCTTCTTCTATGGTGGGAGCCAAGGGAACTGGTCCTTCTGTTGGGGAGCTCAGTAGAGTCTCACCCATGGTCCATCTTCTACTGAGCCGCATGGTATTCCGCCTGCGGCAATGGACTGAGTGAAGAACGTTTGGATCCTTTTACTGGTCTGAAGATGATGTGGCACTCCGACCAACACGTCACAATGGAAGCGGAGAAGCCCCCTGTTGGTCAAGTGTCAAGGAGTCTTCGTCTTCCTCTCGGGACCGTGCCATCCACGTAACCATGTGATGAGCTTCGGACCCGAGTGTACTTGCCATGACTCTCCCCTGCACACCGATGCTCCTCCACTGCCCGCCTCATTTTCTACCAGCCTCATACTCTCGTTCTGTTGGCTCTGAAGGTTGACCAGGGCCCAGCCAAGCGCTTCTTCTCTGCCTGGCGCAAGGGCTGCCGTCCGGGACTCAAGGGTGGATTCCTGTCGTCCTTCTTTCAAGATCTTTAAGGCAGAGCAAGCAAAATTCCAAGACCAAACCAAGTAAAGCACACGGCATTGAATTGATTCGATGGATGACTTTCTTGGTTTTGGAGAACACCCTCCTTCTATCTCCCCTCGCATCATCCGCTTCATCCAACCATTTCCGAGTCGACAACACGGGGCTTGGGCGCCGACCATTTGGATGTAACGGAGCAAATCGTAGAAAAAAAGTCACGTGCCTAATAGACACAGGAAAAGGCATGGAGTCACATGCAAGATGTCACGTGCCATACTTACCCAGCTTTCCAGCAAAAATCCAGCAATCTTTCGACAGAAGCCCGGCTTTACTTTAAGGTCAGCGCGAATGGCCTTGGGCCGATAATGGCTGTATGTACGAGGCGGGAGACCTCAGGGGGAGGCGCCGAACCGGTTTCGAACCGAGCGAAGGCACCGGCATTCGGTGCCGGCATCCGGTTCGGTGGTGACTTGGGTGATGACTGGGGGCTCCGAATGTCGACCGAAAAAAAGTGGATTGCAAGTGGATGTTGCCCCAAAGTCACATTGCCTTCTTGTGCTGGATCTAGACCTGTGCGTCATTGGCACCATGCTTAGCATGCTTTTCCGTCTTCTACGGAAGACCAGGCTGCAAAGGCGTGTCCCATGACCAGCATAGCCGTCCGGTCAAGGATTGAGATGGAAAGGCCACCTAACAATCGTCAGCCACGTCAGCCGGTGGTTTCAGAGCTTGGATGGCACAGACCTGATGTCCTAGACCTGATGACCTGTCCACTACATTGCGCCGACATTGGGGCAGCTTGTGCCATCGAACCTCTCAAGCCACTCCACCGAGCCTCGAAACGCCTGCGGCGCACACAGAAACCGCGTCTCGCCAGGTCTTGCTGCAGCTCTTGGGCGGCGAGCAGTATCGCGGCTCCTGCCGGAGGCGCCGACCCGCCGACCAGCGGGCGGAGGTCGGTTCGGGAGTTCGGGCGGAGGTCGGAGGTGTTCCGGCGTTGGAGCACGGGTCAGACGAGCTGGAGGAGGTTAGGGACGGAATTCGTGCGGCTTAGTTCGTTGGGGACGGAAGATGCCCTCTATAATAAGCTGTTTTGTTGAGAAATGACTGGAGGAAGTACAGAGTGCTACGAAGCACATCTCGTCTCCTGGTGGAGAGGTTGAACACCAACAACTCCAAGATAGAGCCCTTGAACGAACATAGAGCCCTTGACACAACCGTTAGATGACGAGTCACTCCACGAATCAAGTGACGCCACAAGCTTTAGAACCAACACCGCTGCCCGGGTGGCTGCCCGGGTGGCTGCCCGGGTGGCTGCCCTGGTGGCTTCCTGGTTTACGATTGATTTAAGAGATGCTTTTTTTGGCAGAAGAACCCTTGTTTGCTCGTGATTTGGAATCGCGCTTCTTCAACATGTTTTTTTGTTTAACCTGCAGCATCACTTGCATCATGTAGACTAGGATTGATATTTCAACCCTTTAGGCCTGAAGAGGCTAGAAACAATCCATGTCTGGCGGGGTTTGAATCAAGAATCAAGAGTCTACCTTACGCTTGCTCCCTTCCTGATTTTTCATGCGTTGGCTTAGGGCCTTCTTGTTTTTTTTTGCGGCCGCACCCGCACGCGTGCACCGCAAAACAACCGCCCAGGTTTTCGCAGGAGAGCTTCAATGAAGTCAGAGCCTTAGAGAAGGAAGTGACAGTGTGGTGTATTTTTTTTTTTCCGCAAACAGTGTGGTAACACTAGGGGTTCGTTTTTACGGTAGCTGGTTAAGACCTGCTTCGACGCCTCGAGGACCCTTTTTTGACCTTCAGACACACGGTCTTTTGGGGTCTCTTGCCGGGATAAGCGTCTCTTTGTTGGGGGGAATGACCCCTCATCCTGAACGTTATTCCAAGCGGGTAGGGTCTAGGACTGGTGACGGTCCCGGACGTTGGGACTCGTCCCGCCGGACCAACCGTTGATGCCTCCAAAGCTTTTTGTTGGTCCGTTTACATCTATATAGATTCACATCACGGGTTCGAATGTTGCCAGATCCTTCGCGGTGCACTCCTGTAATTCCTTCTGGAGTTCCTGAGTGCTTTCCTTGGAAGTTCGGCCTCTCTCCACCATCCACCGCAGTGTGTCAAGAGAGTCTTCCGACTTAGTCACCCGGCGCAAGACTTCTGCATGTGGAATGGTCGGGTGCCACTGTCGAAGGAAGACGTTCTGCACCACCTCAGAAGACGAACATCCGATTTCATTCAGGTGGTTTAGGGTGGAACTTGGCCAGTCTGACCATCCCCATGATTCTTTATTGGAGGAATTCGCCCGACAAGTGCAATTTGAGTGTTTCTGGTTCTTTTGAGCTTGGGGGCAACAGCCAAACTTGGGTGTTTGTGTCCAATTCCACCCACGCACGATGCGCTTTTTGTCGGACTTGACCGGCTCGCAGTCGCAGCCAGAGCCGCTCACGGGCGTGACTTGGAGAAGGGGGGCAGAGACTGAAGAGCTCAAGTGGTTTGGTGGACCACACTTTAAGATGAAGAAGCTCAGTGAATGACTATCAGATGTAATTCGGTGGAACAGAGGTCAGACCTTTTAACTGGTTGCTTGGTTGCTTCGAGGAGAATCACTCCCTCCCGTCGTGAACAAGACGAAAATAGTGGTGGCATCGACCCCTCTATGGTTCGCACAGGACGTCAGGTGTAGGTGTAGAAGTGAGGGGGGAGGTGGTAGAGGTTTCCGAGAGTTGGGACGGGTCGTGGGGAGAACCTCCGTTCCTGAACCCAACAACCCATCACCCATCACCCTCGTTTTGGTCGGATTTGGGCCGTGGCTAGAAACCCATTGACCAGTGGTTTCACTGCCAGCATGAGAACATGTTCCCAGATGATTGGCTCCTGGGAGTGTGCATATGGGTTGGGTGGCCCACCATATCCTTCGAGCTTCTCTAAGACTACTTGCAGTAGAGAACGTTCTTTCTGATAGGAGCATAGCTCGGGGAAGTTCATTTGAGCACCCATGTGTTGGCGTTTGCTAGGACTCCAAGTGGAGTGGAGAAAACGTGTGCCCGTCCGGGTCCCCAAGCCACCAAATGTACCATCCATGTGCAGAAACAGGGACTACTATACTCTACTCTGTCAAACACAGCTGTTCAGAGCTGAGACATGGGCAGTACATGAAGCCTGTTGGGCCTGAAACACAGGAGGGGTGGACACACCGAAACCACCCACGGCCTGCCACGGCCGGGGTGGTACCTCGATTAGCTTTAGCATAGCAGCGCCACCCAGCAGGGCAGATCGAAGCTGGTGCTGCGCCAAACCTGGGATGGCTTCGCCCAGAAGCTTCGCCCTTTCCGGGCACCATGGACCACCCACGGACGCGGCTGGGCCCGATACTCACCCTACTTCCCGATGGCCTTTCACAGCAAAGCCCCAGGACGGCCGAGTTCACGCGCAGCTTAGGAAGATTTGATGAACTGCTTCAACTCGGAGATGAGTTCCTTAGGTGGGGTCCGGAGTGTAGTGGAACGCAGCGGCCCACGGCCCACGTCAGTGGACGTACCGTGACGGACGTACCGGTGACGTGAGCGTTCACCGTGGCGGTGCCATTCCCCCCCCCAACAGTCGCCCGTTCAGTCACGCGCCACTCCGGACCATGGCCCATGGCTGAACCTGATCGATCTCCAAAAAGTAGGGCATCAATTTGATCGCCCCTGATCATGTTGGCATCAATTTGAGCCCAGATCAACCAGTGCTTTTCCACTCCTCCAGCGCTTGGTGTCCTCCAGCTTTTGCAAAAAACGGTGGCTTTGGGGGGCCAAAACCACAAGAACCGTCAACTGCCACTGTGGCAGAAACATCAGGATACTTCTCAAAGTGGACGGATATAAGCAGCCACTACGGCGTTCCAGGAACATCCACAAACATCACAGTTGAACCGTCTCATCAAACCAAAACACCGTCTCATGGACCGTCACGGCGTTCTCTTCCACCCGTGGTGCGAAGCCCCAGTCGTGACCCGGGTTCGTTCCGGCCTCCAGTCGACCGCACTGAAGGTCTGGGCTGTTGCGACCGGAAGTTGCAGGATTTCGCCTTCCTCACGGGCGAGGCCCGTTTTGGTTGCCGCCTTGGCGGATTGAGGGCAGATGGCCGGCCAAGTCGCCCCGGATTTGTTTGGGGGGGCACAGGTTCGACCTGTTTTTCTTTGTTGGGATGATTTTCTTGCAACGTCTTGAAGTCTGGGAGCCATTCACACCCAGAATTCTGGGTTTCGGTTTCTGCCTGTTCAGAACAAGCGTGACCCGGCACGTGTGACATCCGATGGCTGCGTCCTCTTTGTGAAGAAACGGCCCGAATTCCACCATTTTGGACCGATTGAACACTCCTGCCAAGGGGCACAGAGTGACTCTCAAAACCACTGGGTTGTAGAGGAACATCGTTTTCCATGGGGCATTTGGGCATTTTTCCATGGGATCGTCTGCAAGGGCGTGCACTCCCTCGAATGATCGTCACGTGGATGGCCCCATGGATAGCCACCGAAGACTTGGATAGCTGCCATGTTCCTCTATTGTCAGACAGAGGCGGTGGAACAAACCCTCCACTTCCACCATAACGATTCAAAGGAGTGTAAGAGCCGAGCAAAAATCGCTCTAAGAATCCTTAGAGCCCTTGGATGCCGGGGTCGGACCTTCTCCACCGAAACGCAGGGGGAAACCGGGGGAAACCGGATTCTTGGGGTGGCTGGAATGTGGCATCTGGAGCTTCCCAAGCTCTTGAAGCCGTTGTGCTGTAAGTCCAAGTCAATGGGTTCCTTCAGTCTAAGACGGTCAGACAGGGTCCTACAGAATGATCAGGCTTTTCGACACCTTTTTGGAACCCTGAGCAGTTTATGTATTTGGACGTATATAGGTGGCGCTAAGCTGCCAAATGAAGCGTATCTTTTCTGGAGATTCTCTTTTGCGACATGCCATGGGCCATGCCCACCAGTGTGGACCTGAGTATTCATCCACGACATCCAATCTGCTGAGTCCTGGTCGTCAGACAGGCATCTCTTGGCCACCCTTCTTTCCTGAACCAACGACATGTGCCCACGACGACTTCACCCCCCCCTCCTCTCTCTGCCATCCCTACCCTATACCCTTCCCTCCCCCTTCCCGCTCCGCCTCAGATGGTGCAGGACTCCTTCAATCATCACCCCTGTGAAGAGCTCCTGAAGAAGCCCAAGCTCCAGGACCCGCCCCCGCGCGACCTGGTCGCGCGTCGACTGTCGGGACGTCCCGGAGTGGCCGTGAAGGAGTCCCTAGAAGTCAGGAACTGACCTCATTTGACTGGGGATGGTCATACAAAACCAATACTTAATGAGGTAAAGAACCAGGTTTTACTGGGTCTTTGGACTTCTAGGGAGTCCAACCAAAAAAGGGGGGTTGGTTGAAGTCACGGAGCTTCTTCGGAGTGTGGCCCTTCAAGGACTTTGGACCACAGCTGGGTGTTTGGAATCTTTTAAGACTCCAAAGACTAAAGACTCTGTGTATGTGGCCCACTCTGAGACGTCACACTCCCTTACAACCAAAAACACCAGGCCGAACTCCTTTTCATCGCGACTGAAACAAAGGGAGGTCAACACTTCACACCAACGAACGGAAGAGCAGAGTGTCGACCCGCCGAAGCTCTTTCAAGCAAGCAGAGCGGGCTGGGCGGCGGGGTGCGTCCCAAACCCCAAACCCTTCCGTTCAGATCTGTAGCCATTTGAGGCAAAAGCGGAGAAGACACCACCGCGGTCACCGAAGCATCCGTCGACTCATTTCGTTCTGTTGTTTTTGGCATTGGCTCGCCATGGGTGTCCTCTGGTGAATTGCTGGGTCCCTTTCTAAAATGGTGGCGGCCAGTACGGCGGCGAGGCCGTTTGCTCTGAAATCATCTGAAATCACATGACATCACCGTATTGTTGAAGGAAGGACACAGTTGTTGGGTTTTCTGATTACTTGTAACTTTGCAAGTTGCATGGTTGGACAGCAACAAGTTGTCCTCCACTTGCTTCTCCTTGCACTCCGAATCTCTGGTGGCAAGGAGTTCGACCGAACCTTGATACGGTCTCATTGCTTCAAAGAAGGCCCGATCCGCGTCCGCGTGACCCGCAACGAGGAAACATGGGCCACGGAGCCCGGGTGTGTGACCGTTGTTTGGAGCTAATTGAGCTAATATTGGTGACAGCTATCTGTCACAGCCATGCTGTGGTGGCGCATGGATTTTTCCCAGTACTGTGTTTTGTTTGCTTTCTATATTTTTTTTAAATCTCGTAGATTCCACGGTGCTTTGTTCGGTTCGTCGAGATTCCTATATCGACCCTGCTTCATCATCCGGTGAAACCAGTGGATGATGAGAATGCAAACGTGGATTTTGCTGGAATCTGGGGTGGGAGGAATTATATAAGCTTTTTCACTGAATCCATTGGCTTGGCAGTGGGTAGAATGTGACTGACCTCCTTGAACTGTCAGGGTTTGATGGCGCAAAAGGAAGAGGGAATAGGACAGTCAGGCTTTTTCCACACGCCCTTATGAACAAATTAAGGCCGTGGGCCTTGGACATGGCCGCACAGCTCTCGAAGAAGCTAAAAAATGCTGCAAAAAACTACCAACACCTCCGACAGGTCACCAATTCAAACCTGTTAGGGCCTAACAAACCTCCAAAGGAGACCTGTTGGAAGGTGCTGGTATAGGAACGAGGAGAACAGATGTATCCCCAAGCATGATGTATTTTGTTGGAAGGCCACGAAGGCATGCCCAGGTCTTCCCTCGGTTTCAGCCGGGGCCCCGGTTTCGTACAGCGCGGAAACCGCGCCCGACGAAGGCATGTTCATGGTGCACTCGAAGGTGTGGGCCGTGGGGCAGCGCGCGCTTGGGCCGTGGCAAACTTTACTAACCCAGGAGAGAGTGCGGCAGAGGTACCGAAAGAGAGACGGGGAGACAGAGGTATCGAAAGAGGTGGAAGCGAGGATGCAAATGTCGAGAGTCTGGAAGAGAAGCCTGTGACCACTCCAGAGGGGGATCCAAGGCATTGGAAGAAAGGAAGGAAGAGGAGCAGGGATCCAGAGAACCTACCGGAGCCAGAGGTGTTCCTTCGTCGACACCACCCAAACGGAGCATCCTACATGCTGTGTTCCTTCGAGCTGCTCACCCTGTTCTTTGTTCTCTGAAAACCACCCGAACACCACCCGAAAAACATGGAGTCTAAGAGGCTAAGCTAAGAGACAAGACACCATCTCGCTTCGCTTCGCTTCAGGTGTTTTTCCAGGGTGAGATGCCATCTGTATACAGATCCAGTCCACGTTGGTCCAGTCTCCTGGGTCTCCTATAGGTCTCCTGGGTCTCCTAGGTCTCCTGAAAAGCAAACATGGAGTCTATTGATTGATTTTGGCCGTTTGGAGCGTCTGGGGAGGCTTTATGGCGCAAGAGATTGTTTCTCCAGGTTTACATTCAACATAGCTCCAAAAACCCTCGTGAGGGCCATGGGTACGATATCAGATTCTGGTCGTGGATGGCTCTTGTTGTCGACCAATGGCTTTGGCATTCCGAACAGGATGTCCAGAGCTGTCCAGCGCTAGATGCTAGATCTGTCTAGATCTGACCCCTCTGAGGTATGGTGTCTGGAAACCAGGAGGGTCCAAGACGCAGGGGGTGGCAGTAGGTGTCCTTCTTGACAGGGTCCGGTCAACGAAGGAGGGTCCGGCACCTCTGGAGGGTCGGGGATTTCCGTCCTGTTCACTCCCACAGGAGGTTCGTGTTTTGAGAGGAAAGATCCATTTGGTCGGTGGGTGGTTCTATTCAGAGAGGGCACTCAGGTTCGTTCGGTCCCTTCTCCAAAAGGTGAAGCAGGGAGGGGTTGGGAGGCTCCTTCAGACGTAAGGGCGCAAGCTTTTGGCGTCGCACTGGCCCTGCAGAACTTGACCTACGCGCAAGAGTCCTTGCGGCGGGTCCGTGCGCTGAAGAGCGAGCTGTAGGCCGGTCTGACCCGGTCGACCGGAGATGGGCCGAGGGTGAACATCCAAACGACGCCATGTGACTGTACCTTCTTCAGGAGATGGGTTGCAGTCGAGTGCCTCCGTCTTGCCTGCAGTGTTCTGATATTGATATTTGATCTGGCCAACAGGTGAATATCCTTTATCGCGACGAGCCAATGAGAAAGGGTTGCAGCGAGACTTCGGAAGCCAGTGGGGAAGTCTGAAGAAGAACAGCAACCGGTGGTTCTTATTGTTTTGGTATTGTACCATCTCGTGGCTGTTCGCATAGGTCGTACCATACCTTACTGTGATTCTTACTGTCTGTGGGACGAGATGGTACTACAAGACCGGCGTTACGCCCTACCACGTCGTAGCACCTCTGCCCGGTGGATCCGCGATGCCCGGTGCCGAGGCCGAGGTCAGAACTAGTAACTGATAGCTGCCACATGTCTTCAGTAACATCTCCAGAATCCCCGTAGCTAGTCACATGTAAAGATACTGAGTGGAGGCTCACAATCGCAGCAACATGTCAAAGTCGAAATGGAACATTGTCTTCAGACACTTTGAAGCAAGGATCCTGATGGCCCAGAGTTCTTACTTTGGGGTTGTTGAACATCACACAGCTTGGTGCTGAGCCGAGCCTACGAATGAATTGACGAAAGGAAAACCGTGGAAATACCATAAAATACTCGCATCTTCTGTAGCGTTGTGCTCGCGTTGTGCTCGCAACCAATGTGTTCTTGCAAGTGTCAGAGGCGGTCAGGAAGGTGATTGCTGGTGTTTCTAAACCCTGGGCATCCATTTACACCACTATAGCTGGTAACCAGTGGTTCCAAAGACAAAAACCATAGACTCAGAATCCCTGGTTCCTTGTATAATTGGTCACTGGGATCCACTGGGTCACCTGAAGCCTACCTTACACTCACACTCACGCCTTTACTGAGGGGGAAAGGTCCTTCATGTGCGTCACTTCGTGGTCTTTTTCTTCAGTTCTTTTGGCCTCTTCACCGTGTGATGAACGATTTCGCAGCTCATCATGTGAGAACGACGGGAGAGGCGGTGGCATGGACGTCCCGATGGAAGACGAAAAACGGTCAGTACTCCCCCCCCCCAAGTCCCACCCGGAAACGACGGAATTGACGGAATGGACTGGTTTCGACCGTCAGACCCACCTGGGCGCGTGGCCCGACCTGGGGTTCCATGTGGCCTGACTTGGGGGGATTGGGGGCCGACCGTGTTGACCGTGTGCTTCGACCCTCCACCGGATCTCCACCAGATCCCGCCGGCCTCCGAGAGGCGCTGGGCGCTCAGTCAGACGAGACTCTGTGTCGCTCAAAGCAGCGACGTCGAAGTGAAATGGTGAGCATCTCAGAATGGATCAAAAAGATGAGAAGAATGGGTCACTGGGAGGGAAGGAGTTTGGGGTTCACGAGCTCATTTCGCATGAATTTCACTTGGAGACTTGCATGAAGCGATGCCAGGAGCCCCTAGTAGCGTCCTTGCCCCTAGTAACCACTGCAATAAGAGCCTGTTTCTCTTTTTCGCCGTTCAGCCAATGAACCTTCCTGTCGTCGTCCGGTGGTTTCCTTTGGACCGGGTTCGACCGGCGGTGAACGATTGGTGCGACGTCGGAAGGTCCAGGAATGAACGAAAATTCTAATAGCTTCTTTGTTACTACTAGTAAGGCACCTGTTACTACTAGCGTGGCACTTGTTACTAGTAGCTTATTGTTTCTAGGTTCGGGACGTGCAGGTTCATCGCCTCTGCTTCGCCCTGTGAGTACGGTCGACGATTTAAAAAAAAGCACCTGGTCCAACCTGGTTCAACCTGGTCGGTGCAGAATCTTCCGTGGTTTTGGAGCCTGTTTGGGTGTCCCTACCACTTCTCCAGACACCCAGCCAGGACACCAGGACTTGGGCCCGTTTTTCGATTCTTTTAGTTTTCCGCAGTGAGTCACTATCTCCGGCCAATTGGGGAGTGACCAGTGTGAAACTGCCCAAGTCCGTCGAAGTTCCAATAGATTGTAGACCAACGACCGCCGAAAATCCGCGATGAGTTGAGGCTTTCAGCCAGTCTCGCAGAAGGTCCAAGAGCCCGAGCAGACAGCAACATCTTCAGAACATGTGACGTCCAGGACCAAAACCCGAACTTGGCCATCCAAAAGCATCCCACCCTAAGGATCAAGGACCCTCCATAGCAGGGGCTAATGATCTAGACAGGGCAGTCTTTTTGTCCAGAGCATTCGCTTTTTCCAGTTCCTGTCGTTCTCTACATCACGCGAACATCGTGTCCGAAAAGCCACGACTCGCCGTGCCGCGGCGTGAGAGTCGTGCGACTCGCATTTGCCGAGCTCCGCTCTTGGCCGAGCACTCTCGGTGTCATGTCAGCCTCCAAACTCGAGAAGACCGTTGTGAACCTTGAGAAGCGGCTGAAGCAGGTGAGCTGAGCTGAGCTCGACATCAGTATCGGTTTCAGTCTGGCCACACTCGGTTTCCCTGGGGCAAGCCGTTCCGAGAAACGCGTGTGTACATCCAAATGGAGCCTCAAACAAAGCAGATGAAAAAATAAATAGGCATATATATTATATATTATATATATGTTGGGGGGGTTGTCTGAACTGGCCTGTAAAGCCGTCGGGTTTCACGATATGACACCACTTTTTGAAACCATCACCATCCACTGGGCCCAGGGAATGGGACAAAAAACACCCAAATCTATGATCATCACTGTCACCTTGGGTCCAGTGAACCGAGTTTCAGGTATACCCGAAGAGTCAGAGGGTTCGACCCCTTCTAGGGATTACTTTTTAGAATTGAAACACCAAGCTGTTCACAACCCTACCCTTCTGCAGAAGAACTACCCTCCTGTTTTCAGGGCGAACTGTTTGAGAGTTTTTGCGGTTTGCAACTGACTTGTAGTAGTACGTCAGGGGGCCCCCAGTAGTGAACGATGTATCTCCATGTATCTCCCCCTTGTCGCAGGGTCTATTTGCCATAGCCTGTGGACCTCCAAGCATCTCTGCTCATTGTCCCAGTGTCTGTCAGACTCACATGCCCAAAGGACTGGTGGTTCACATCCGCATTCCTGTTGGGAGTTTGTTCCATCCTGGGAATTCGTGGGAGATTTTGCTATTTGCAGTACTCTTCCATGTGCGATCCATGTGCTTTTGAGGGACTTCTTCGCTGGTTTTTGGGATCCGAGGATGGCCTGAGAATTGCTCCGGATGAGACTAAACCACCTTCGCTCCCCTGTCACAAGGTCAGGTGGAACGACCTCCTTTTCACCTGGACCACGACGCACCGGACGGCACCGGACCGGACGGCACCAACGGACCGGTGGACCAGGAGTTCGGACCGAGTGTGGTTCACTTCCAGAAGAGCCACATGGATTGCACACGCACCGGACCGTGGGACCCAGGTCGGTCGGGTCCGGGGACGGAGTTCGGAACTGAGTTCGGACCGCTCTTCACGTCCAGGAGTTCCATGCGGAGATGCAGCGGGAGCTCAAGCAGCACACGGCTGGGCTTCTGGGCTCAAGTCACGTCATGCACTGGGCCGGACGCCGAGACCCACGATGGCGGGAAATTGAGTGAACTCCCCCCCCCGACGGTTGGGGCCATGGGTCTTCGGAAGGTATCGGTCTAGACCAGTCTCCATGTCTTCGCTGGTTCCGTCTCGTGGATCTTGGGTCGGGTGAAGATGTGGTTGGAAGATGCCAAGAGAGGCTTTTCACAGCCCTTACCTTTTTTTGCCCATTCCCATATATACCACAGACCAGGGTCCGAACGTTCTGGTCTCTGAACCTCTCTTGGTGTGGTTGGAAGATGAAGATAGTCGCTGCTCTCGGACCATCAGTGCTGGTACAGCATGGTTGCTGGTTACAGCACCACGTGGGCAGATCTTGCGTTGGTCTCTCAAGCTGGCTGATTTGCCTTGCAGCATTTATTCTGGACTGGAAGGCCATTGGAATTGGGCTTTGCGGGGTGACAAATCCAGCGGGAGATTCCGTGGAAGAAGGGAAGAAGGGAAAGAACTCATCATCAGATATATATATATATATATAGATCATAGAGGTGACTGTTACCATATAAAATCCTTTCGTTCTTTCTCCCTCAGCCCACCCAACTTCCGTCGCCCGACTTCGGTGATCGCACCGTTCCGGGGGCGCTGAAGCGGAACGCCTCGAGGCTCGAGGCTCGGCTCAGCACGTTGGAAGCGCAGCTGAAGAAGATCCAGACGGAACCCCTCGTGGTGTGCGACATTGACCGGGTCCCTCGGGCGGGGGGGGCCACATGGGCCGGAGTGGTGAGGGTGCGGTGACAAGGGCGTGAGGGTACGGCACCAGGGTCGTTCGGCGTTCATGGTTGGGTGAGGACGTCATCTTCGTTCTCGTCTTTGAAAACATCCGCTTTCTTGAAGGAATCGGTGGCCGAAACGGACCGCCTGTCTCAAACGTTGAGCGTCATTCTCCAACAGCTTTGGAAAATGAAGGGGAAAACGGAGGACACCGAGGGAGCTATGAGAACGCAGTTTGTAAATCCCATGCGCCGCATGTTTTGGGACTCCAAGAAGAATCATGGCAGGGAACACAAAGCGCCCAACTCGTACGTGTTGGGCCGCTGGCGAAAAAGCTCCGTTCGTCGCGTCCGATCGCTCCGTTCGTAGTAAGGCCCGTTTCGCCCCGTTCGTCGCGTCCGCTCGCGTTCGAGTCGCGAAGGCCCGTTGCCGGCTCCGTTCGTCGTGCTCCGATCGCGGACAGACGAAGCACTGCCAGGGCTCACCGTGCTGGGACCTCAGGTCTCGGACATCGTGGAGGAGCGGCTGGATCGGGGGGACCTGAACCTCCCAGAGGCGCGGTGTGGAGCAGGAACATGGAACACCACCGACTCGGAGCGATACAAACGACTTGGTGGGAGACAAACGCGTATTTTGGTGCCCCAACGAGTATTTGTTGGGCAGGGCCATGTGTGGCGGACACCATCGATTTTTCACGGGTTCTAATCTAATCAGAACCTACGGGACACCGGGGACAGAACCTTAACCCGGTCGAACGACCACGAACCGCACTGAGTCCTCGCATGGAGGACCACCGGTGCAGCGAGAACGAGGAATACGAGTCCAGTGCCGTGTGAGAAACCCGGGTCCATGTGAGTGATCCGCACCCGGTCCACAAAACAAGGGTTTGGGTGCCCCAGCCACCCTATGTGAACTAATTAGAGGGTTCGACCCCTTGCCATGGAGGGTCCGGACGACCGGATCCTTAGGGAATAAATCTTCGAACTTGGGGACAAAAAGATCACCCTAACAGGTCCAGTCGGACCTCGTTTGACTGGGTCCGGTCATGCTTGCGACCAGTACGCCATGAGGTCGACCCGAAGGTCGACCCGCGAGGCTTGACTTGGACTTGGTAGTAGGTGATCACATTGGTACCGCCGAACACCGTGACCAGACCTACTGGACGACCCCTATTTCTGTGGAGAATGGAAGTTCACAGGTGAAACCCTACAAGTCAGTCGAAGACCTCATTTTGCTGGGGATGGTCATACAAAACCCATACTTAACGAGGCAAAAGACCAGGTTTTTCTGGGTCTTTGGACTTGTAGGGAAAGCTTTTGGAAATAACACGGTCCGGTGAATGCGAGCTCCATCACTGCGAGCTTTTCACAAAAAACTCCACCATGTCTGCGCGAGTTTTGCCAGAGTTTCCCTCGCATTCGATCATTTTGGGGAGCTGTCAGACGTTCCCAAATGGGGATCTTTTGCCGTCAATTCACCCCGGCCGCAGTCTGCCGCCTGGCCGGCCACGCGGCACAGCGCTCCTAGTGCCCTTCTCCTCCATCGCCTACCACACAGCTTCTATACCCTGAACTGTTCAGGACATGATTTCTCCTCTTCCTTCGAAAGCTTCTCCTCTTCATCCGACGGTCCAGTTCGAGGCCGAACATGGAGGCACGCTCCCAAGGAGTCTTTCCACCCATCTTCGATGTTCATCCCAAGTGAAGCGCTCTGTGCTTCAGTTACCGCCACCGCGGAGAGCGCTCCCCGTCTTGCTCGGCGAAGCGCCCTCCGCCGACCGAGCTCACCGCATCCGCCCAACGCCGGCGGCGTCCCGCCGGCGGAGGCGCACCTGGCGCTCGAGGCCAAGGAGTCCGTCGCTCCGCTCGAGCTGGACGCCGTGGCGCCGGAGGGCGGAGAGGAGCGGAGCCGGAGTGGGAAGACAGAGAGCGGGCAGGCGACCTGCAGTGAGGATGGCGTTAAGTGAGGAGTAAAAAACAAGAAGGAACTCCAAAGAGTGTTCAGAACCCTTAAGAAGGTTCCACACTCTTTCGGATGTGGGCAAGTGGTCACAGTTCTAGAGCTCTGACCTCGCCGGATCTGCCCCCGCCCCGGCGCGTCCGTGTCTTTTTTGGGGCTCAGTCGGATGTCGGAAGGTTCCGAGGCGAGAATCGTTCCATTCTTGAGAGAACTGAGAAGAAGCTAGATCTAGGGGCCCAAACATCCCCCCTAATTTTTAGGGCCTCACCCCATAACGATCAAGAAAAGGATGGTGAACACCAGACCACTATCTCGGCAGGACACCAGACCAGCCTAGACCCAACACCGGACACCCATCCGTTTCCCTCCAAAAAGTCCCTCTCCTTCCGAACTTCCACCTCGACTCGACCCCCCACTCGACCGAACACCCGTCCTGAACCACAGCTTCGGTCCGAGCACCCGGTGGGTGGTTCGCCGCGTCCGTTTGAAACAGCTGGTGGTTGTTTTGGTCAGGTCTGGAATGGCTTCGAGGCGGCCGTGTTTCTTTTTCTTCTTTTTCCGCTTCAGTTTTGCGTTGGTTGCTTTTCTCAGGTCCAAGACGGTCCCCAAAGATATGTTTAAGATAGAAATCAGTATCCGGCACATGTTTGAAGTGGATATTGGATGATATTGGAACATATTGGAACTATCCAATTTCTTCACACCCCAAAGCTTCCTAAAGAGGACGTTTCGAGTCTTAGTATGTCCTCTGAAACTCGTCCTTGCCTCACATGGCAAGCCACGCACCACACACAGAGTCACACAGAGCCAAACCGCCAGGAGGTAGAGAAGCCGATGGAACACACCCCTGAGGAGGACATACCAGAGAGCGAGTGAACACGGTGTTTTCAACCGGTGAACCGTCACCGTAATGACGGTCGTTTGACCGTCGTCTCGTCCGAAAGGAAGGCGCCCCCCGGTGGAGTCAGGAGTCGAAAGCATCTCCCCTAAGAATCCGGGCCCGAACGAACAGATTAGGCTTTGGTTCGGGCCCGGTTTCCCCCTGCGTTTCGGTGAAGAAGGTCCGACCCCCATGGAGAGCCCGAGCTCGGATTCTCCATGCCCCTATGGATCCACTGCCACCTTCTCAGGTTCGGTATGTGGATCCAAAGGGATGGGTCGCTAACATATGGAACCTCCGCTCCTCGGTGCTTTCCTACCACAAAACCCCACAAACCATCGAAAACCGGGTTTTCTCTAGCAAAAAAGCGGGGTTTTGTATCTGAAAACCTTTGTTTTTCATGGTTTGCTTCGGGCCCCTGGTACTCATCAACCCACCACCCACCGGCTCCCGGTCGCTGGACGTCGGAGGAGGAGGTGGAAGAGCCGGTGGCGTTCACCGAAACGGCGCACCTCAGCACCGTTGGTTCTGTGGGCGGGTCGGAAGTGGTTGACTTGTGTTTGACTTCCGACCTCCGGTCCGGACACCTCCTAGCACCCTTTTGGGTGACTCAAGACTGGAGTGACTGGGCAGATCAGGTTTTGCAGTCCGAAGGGACTTGGGCTTCGGCTTCCGGCACGGTCGCCCTGTCCGACCGTGGCACGGTCGCCCAGCGAGCCGGACCCCTCGGTACCGGCCTCCGGATGGGAGATGGGTCTGATGAAAGGCTGGCGGAGAGACAAGGACGCACCCTCAATCCTTCCGGTCATGGCACCCGCACCTTCTCCAAAGCAGAGGTGGGGAGCGAAGAACCCGTCGTTCGACGGTCTGACTGTTGGGTACCCCTGGTGACGGGTCCGTTCGTTCAGGTCACTTAACCCCTGTTGGAAGATCCTTCCTTTCGTGCCTCGTTCAACAAGGTGGAACTTGGTGCTGGTGCTAGGCGCGACAGACTCTGAAAAGCCATGGAGGGCGGACGACTGTAGCTGGAGAGGCTCTGAAGGTTCACGCCGGCGGATTTTTGTTGCATTCCACGAAGAAGATGAAGTGTGGGACATGGCTGGCCACTGAGCAAACTACTGTTTCAATGATATGAAACCTAATAATTAGTAAATATAAGACTTCTGAGCATAGAGGAGCTGTTGGTGGCTTTCTAAATGTACACATCATTTGTTCTTCGGCCATGGTTTCACATCATTTGGTTTCAACCCCCCAAAAGCGGGATCCCAAGATTCGTCCCATACAAGTCACTCTGTTCGTTTCGTCGGACCCCCCCTTTCTGCTTCGTGCAGTTGTTTGCACCGATCTGCCTCCCCCGCCGCCGCGCGGCGGAAGCGATCCACGGGCGCTCTCCACCTCCTCCCGTCCACACGACCGCATCCTCGACGCTGGTCCCCGAGCCGGTGTCCCTTTTTCCTCCTCGGGGGGAGTGGATGGCCGGTGAACAGCGCACTTCCCAACCCGCCGTGAGACGGGCCAGGCCCGGGTTTGGAGGCCCCTTTTCCCCCCCCGGGGCGCCTTGTTCCACGTGGGGAGGCCTGACGGGGTCGGGAACTCTGGATGCCTGCATCGCGTGTTTGTTGCTGATCTGCTCAGCAGCCATGCAGATCACCTTCAGCGTGCCTTGGAAACGAAAAAAGATATGATTGCCAGAACCCCCCTGTTTGGGGTGTCCAATCAAAAACTCCTTAGAGGTGAAGGGATGTCCCAAATCCGTAGGGGCCCTGGGGGAGATCGGATGTGATTGGTGGGGGATGATCATCGCAGCTGATTGGGGGATAGAGAGTCGTTGGGCCGGCCGAAAGCGGAATCCGATGGTCAGAGGGAATGGAGTGGTGGGCAGAGGGGGCAGAGGGGGGCAGAGGTCCAGTTAGTCCAGTTCCAATTTCATCCTTCTGTCTATTGAAATCCACCATGGGTGAACATCCACCATGGGTGAAAAAACCAACCCTTCCCCCTTACTTTGGAGGCATGGCTCTTCGCTTTTTATGTTTCTAAGATTTTAGAGAGGTGCAGACTGTTGAGGAATCAAACTTCACCAGACTTGGAGCCTCAAAACCTCCTCTGCGTGGTTTCTCCGGTTCTCGGGTGCCTTGCTCATGCTCTTGGTGCTGGTGCTCTGCGCGTCGGTGAAAGAGCGCGTCGGTGTGACTCGATGGACGAACATGACCGTTCCGGCGAACGGCGAACCGCGCGAACCGCACGTTCCGGCTCGGCTCGGATGCGCGTTCGCACCACCGACCGACCTGCTTCGATCGGACAGCGCGGTTGAACCTCGCACGGTCCTTCGGGTCGACCCGAGGGACCGGGACGTCGAGCTGAGGTGATTTTGTTCGGAGAGGAGCACGGGGCGGGACTGGGTCATGCCCAGGGTGCCATGTGAGCTCAGTCAGATGGGCTGAAAGGATACTCAATGATTCAGTGATGGTTTCAAGGTATTCCTACGACACATGAAGTGACTCGATTCACTGATGTACCAACAGTGGATACTTCTCATCGGTTGGGGGTGTCCCAGTAAAGCCGAAATGAGCCGTCGGGTTTCATCAGGGAAAAACAAAGGTTTTCAGATACAAACACCAGGTTGTTTGCTAGGGAAAACCAGGTTTTTGATGGTTTGTGGGCCCATAGTATACACAGATCATCATAGATCAACATAGATCTACAAGATGATAGTTCGACCAGGCTATCCTCAGCTTGCGACGGGGGTCAAGCCTTGTTTCCCTCGATTCGGGGGTGTTTGGATCCGGCGGTTTCTCTGTTCAGTTTCCCACTTTTGTATGAACACCTACCCCAAGCAGGGTAGTCAAAAGTACTGGCAGCCTTGTAAACAGCGGGAGAGGGCCAAAAGGCGTTTCGTTTTGGAAAGTCCTTTTTGTTCTTCTTCTTCCTCCATTTTTGGGATCCCTCAGTCTTCAAACACTGGCCAAGTGCAGATCCTTTGAGATTTGAGATGCGGAATCCATCCTTTAAAAGAACCCTCCGCACGGCTCACTTTGCACCTCCTGCTGTGCACCTGCAGCTGCGGTCCGGCGCCGATGGTCCGGTCGGTTGGAAGGAGTTCTTGGGGGAACCCTTCCACGAGCAGATTGACATGGCCAAAGCCTGGCGGAGGCGGGTTGAGAACTCCAGGGCGATCCTTTTGACGGAACTCCAGTGGGTCATCAAATGTAAAAGAAAAACCAAGCAAAACATGCCGGGGCAAAGATCTGAAACAGTCATGTTGACTGATGACATAAGGAAGTCCTGCCGACAAAGTCTTGGGGTTCGACACACCTCCAAGTCTTGGGGGATCTCATTTTCATCAACGCCTGATGTTCTGAAGATCTGTAAGATCGACTGCCACAGTTCTCACAGCATTTCTACCAGGACCACGGAAGGGCGGGTGGTTGCCTGGATGGAACATACATAGGAAAAGGGGATGTCAGGGGTGTCCATCAACCACCCGAACTCCACTCCGTGGTCGCTTTCTATTTCACCTTTCGATTCGCGGCAGCTTTGGACCACCCCCCAGGTCTCATCGACCTGTCCCCGACCACGACCGGTCCCCGAAAGCCCAGGTCCACCGGTCCGCTGCTTGAAATCGGACCGTACATGTCGACCATGTCCATTTAGTTACACTGTCGACAGTGTGACCAGGGGATTGATTTTCTCACAGATGGTCCTGGCTGGTACGCCTTGAAATCGGTGAGTCAGAGAGGACACCGGTTCTAAGGGCCTCGGGCCTCGGGGAGTGGGGAGTTTGGTCTTCACGCCAAGAACACGGAGGAGTCACACAGGCTACAGACGTCTGCCAGAGGCGAACACGTGTTGCGAAGCAAGTGCTACACGGTGCGTTTGAGGTGCCAAATGTCCTCGTGTGTCGGTGGGTTTTGACCCCACCCTCGGGCACTTACGTACCACAGGACCACAAAGCATGTTTCATCTTTTTGGACGATTAGCATGGTTTTTGCGGACAACCAACCACCAATCCAGCCATGAACCCAGCCATCTGCCCGGCCATGTTGATACAGGTCGGTTGCTCCGTTTTTTCGGTTCCTTTGGGAACCATTTTTCTGGCCTGAGGGTGCAGTAGCGCCTCCGCAGGAGCGTGGCCCATGACCATCGGCACATGGATCTGGCCCAGACGAGCCTGGCCTCTCGTTCCTCGGATGAACGAACTGTGGAGGGAGCCGGAGCTGCGCTGGGAAGCTGAAAAGCGGAGCAGCCTCCCAAGCAAGGATTTGCCGCCCAAAGATGATGTTCAGTGGTTTCACAGGTTCGAATGGCACAATGGTGTCACCAAGGTCGGTGGTTGAACTCTGAAACGACTAGTGACTGGACTAGTGACGTAGTGCGACTGGCGAATGACCCTCCGAAACGAAACACGTGTCGCAGCATGTCGCAGCTGCATCCGTCCAGTTTGTCCCAGTTATATAGCTGTTTTGGTTTGGTCGCATGTGCCAACATCCGTCGTCTAGGATTTCTTCAACCTTCCCTACTTTCCACGTGCCACCAATTCAAGACTCTCTTGAATCAATGTCTCTTCAAACTCCTGGCAGTCACGTCCTTCACCACGTCTCAAGTGGATTTCGCCATAGGACGGCTCTCCACCATCTTCACATGACCGGAGTGTGAGAGAAGAGTCTCCTGCTACATGACTGGAAAGGGGCTCGAGTTCTCCAGCTTGGTTGGTCCGACTGTTGTGTTGCTCTCGATGCCATTAGACTGCCAGGACCACGGATTTCGGGTTGTTATTGGAAGGAAACTACGTAGTCAGGGGTGTCAACAAGCCACCCTTTCCATGGTGCTGGTGAAAGATGTTCAGTTCTTTGATGTTCCTTTGGATTGGTGCACCCAACACTTTGGCAGTCAACAAAGCCAAAAGAAGGTGGTCACCAAATAGACAGGAACCGTGTAGAAGGTGGTGACCTCTTGAACTCTGTTCGTCGCACGAAACGGCGACTTTCTGATCGATGAAGTCGCGGAGGTGTTTGCAATGGAGATGGCAAGCTGATTCTGTCCACAGACCAGGCCTCTCTGCTCACACAGCTGCTTGGCAGTGTCCGAGACCGATCGGACGAAAAAGGGCGGTCAAAGACGACGGTGGGCGCTTGGAAAAGCGCCGTCTTTGGGGAATTGGTCCGAGCCGTTAGGAACCATCAGCCATCACTGGATTCAGCCATCGGGAAACCAATGCCATGGACCAAGCGAAAAACCATCGTGCGATGGTTGATGCATTGGAGCGCACATGAGGAACTTCGATTCTGGCTCCTGCACGAGGTTTTCTTCACGCTTTGGATCCCAAAACGACCTTTCTCTATCCGCAAATGGATCGCAGAGTGATGTTTCATGGACCCACGGGTCCAATCCCCAAATGCCCAGGCTGCTCAGGTGGGTGACTGTTGCATGGCACGCCGGAACTGGGTTCGGGCTTGTGGAATGTAAAGACTTTGACTCACACTGGGAAGGAAAGAGACATCCTGGAACCTCCATCAAGTTATGGACAACGCCCAAGTCCTTATCCCCAGTCGGCCCCACCCAAGATCACGCAACCTAATAGTGATGGTCTCCAAATGAGAGCTCTTTCTGAGGATCAATGCCTTTGTGGGACTTGGCCATGAGGACTTTGAGCTGCCCTGGCTGCAGCCGGGGATTCTTCTCTGCATGCTCTGCATCCTCCTTTGGTCGCCCGGCATTGAAAAAGACGCCCGTTCGCGCCGACCGCATGCAGGACACCGAAACGCGAAGGGAACGCACAGTTTTCGGTGCTCTATGGTTCGCTTCGACTCTACAGGCCCAGACGCGTGGACCTTTCTGACATAAGCAGTTCGGCGGCCCTGACCGAAACCTGATTGAGGGGGGTCTCGAGCGCCCATAGGGCGGCCGTTCGGCGCCGGTTGGGACCCAACGAAGAACAGGGGGACGAGAGGCACAAAGAACAAGGATCAAACGACCAAGAAGGGAAGAGGAATTAATTATTAAGAGGAGGGCCAAATCAAAGGATTTGCTCAGATCTGCCAGGTACAGGTAGGGGCCAATCAATCCTGGAATTCCTTTTCATTCTTGCTTTGATGCTTTGGTTTATCTGATTCTCGTATTCTGCAAGACAACATGTCGCGGACTAGGAAGAACTTTTTGAGGAGAGAGGAAGCAAACATCACCAAAAAAAAGAGCTGATTTGAAGAAGAGGAACTAGCTAACAAGTCAAGAATCGTACAAATCACAAACCAGCCAAGCAGGGAGGAGCGACGAATGATTTGTCAAGAAGTTTTCTCAAGTGCTTTGCCAGGCTTTGGCACAATCATGCGTGTTGGGTGATGCAATAAACACTGGAAGAACTAAATGAGAAGGAATTCGATCAAAGCACAGATTTCTATGGAATTACATCTAGAACGGGGATAGAGTAGGGTTAGCTATTGGGAATGGTCCTATGACCGGTAGAAGCTTTGATGGAACGGCTATTCAGCTATTCACCGCAGACCTTCACTGCCTTAAAAGCCCTGGAAGGCGTGAAGTTTCACCCTTCAGCTAGGGAAGCAATCCCTTTGCATTCCAAGTGAATCGGTAGGGGGAGACAAGGCGCGCGCGTCAGTAGGTTAGAGGCCATATATAAATTGGTATACTGATTCGGTTCAATTTGTGTTCCTTTTGCTCGCACCCAAAGGGAATCAAGGACAACGAGTGCACTCGAGTCCTTGGACATGACGAGATCGACGGGAAGATGTGAACGAACGCACCACGGAGCCCGCTCTGCGGGTGCACCCGACGAACGGAGCCCCGAACGGGGCTTTCGTGCCGAAACCAACGACCTGCGGCCTGGTTCGTGTTCGTGCCGAACCGTCCGAGTCATGGTTTGTTCCCTGTCCGAGTCAGATCGCGCGCCTCGCGCGCCTCGTGGCGAGCTGCGACCAGGTGCCTTTACCTCTGCAACGAGCTGCGTGCCGTGTTCTTCTCCCTGGAGGCGGGTTCCGGAACGACGGTGTGAGAGTCGAGACGCCCGAACGGGGACTCGGACCTGAGAGTCGAGACCAGAGGGTTTCAAGACGAAGACGAAATGAGCCACTTCACTTCACCGTGTTTCACATCAACTTGAGGAATTCATGGAAAAGATCGATCTACCAGCACCTCCAACAGGTCACCAATTGAGACCTGTTAGGGCCTAACAACCCTCCAAAGGAGACCTGTTGGGTTCGGTGCTGGTACAAATACCACAGATCCAGTCTGATCCAGTCTGATCCGCCTGGTCCGAGTCGCTCATTGAGTTGTGGCGTCCAGGCTTTCCTTTTACCCAAATGGGGTCGAAGTGACCCTTTTCTTGATCCGTGTGTTTGACCAGTATGGTTGTCGATGATCTCGCGAGGACCCCTCTCTTGCGGTTCTTTTCATGCTCTTTACCAAAGAACCATTGGTTCGCGACCTTCGTAGGCTTTTCCACGACCAACAGAGAACGGTCAACCATGGTCTTCTCCCTCTTTTGACATGGTCTTTGACCGGCGAAGATGGCGCCGACTCTCACCGGAGGGCGGAGAAGAGTTACAGTGCTGACTCGGAAGAGAATGCAGTTGATCGCCGAAGAGTGCGTCTACGGCAGCCATTCGGCCGTCCGATGCAGTGCGCATGTCCATCATGGCCCCGGACTCGACTGCTCGACTCGGAAGGACCATTTGAGCTCTTCCGAAGACCCAAACAGTCCCAGACACTCCATGGGACTGCCATCTATGCCTGGCATACATGGAGTGTCTGGGAGTTGGTTTTCACGAACCACGAAAACCATGGTTATTGTCAGGGAGTGTACTGTAGTAGGTAGAAAGAACAGTTCTGGTCGCTTCTAGAAATCCAAATCCTGATGTTGATGTCCATTTCCTTTTCCACAATAGAATGGTAAGGGTACGACTCTGAAGTCGTTTCCGTTTTTTCGATGGCGACCACATGGCCTCTGACCGAACTTGGCCAGTCATGTTACAACTCAGGTAGCTTCGGCTACCTGAGTTGTCTTTGCTTTGGCCATGATTTCTTGTACCCTCAAACCCCGATGTCCTCACCCAGACGCCCATGGGACTGCCATATATGCCTACATTGACCCCTCAAACCACCCCAACTGATCGGCATATGGTGACGTGGATTTCGAAGAGGTCCGGTTTCGACTGGTAAGACCGGCGACCACGAGAGTTCTTGGGTTCGAGCACACAGGGGTGATGGTCCGCATCCTGTTTGCACGGAAGAGTTTCCTTCGAAAACGACCGAACACGCCCCAACTCCGCCGGACATGGGCTGACATGGGCTTGACCAGTTTGGTGGAGTCGAACGAGTTGGCAGCCTTCATGCCCCCACCCTACCCCCAAGCTGCGGTGAGGTGAGGTTTTCGCCGCCCTGGTTAGGTACCCCTGCTCCGTCGGCCGGTCCAAGGGTCCATGGTCCGGGCACGGGTCGACGGGCGTCGAGCTCCGGCCGGAGCTGCCCGGCCAGGCGGTGTCCTTCTTGCCGCGGGGCTCGCGCACGATCTTGAAGCAGGGACGTGGCTCGGCTCGGGATGTTGGGCCGACGGCGCGATCTGAAGCGGCTCGGACTGGCTGGGTGTGAATTCGGATGGGTCTCAAGGCCAGTCGAGTCAGTAGAAGTAAGTAGAAGAGGATTCACCATTTTTGGAGAAGGAAGGGCCTGGAACCTAAGACAATCATCATCCACGAAGCTGGGATCCGATGCCGGAGGCTTCGTCGCTGCTTGGTATCCAAAAGGTCGAACTTGGAACCCAAAACCACGAACCCAGACATGACCTCTGGTTTTGATCGGAAGAAAACACACCGTTTTGGCTCTCAAACTGGGGTAGGCACCCAGGAAGATGGAAGATGATGGAAGACGCCACCACCTGGGAGACACACCACCTGTGTCGCAGACTCTGTCGCGAGGCTTCATCCAGATGTCCTACCCCCGTTGGCTCGCCTATTGCCTCATGCGCCTGGCGCGGCTCTCCATCGCGGCGCCGGGGCGGACAAGCGTTCCGTTCCGTTCCGTCCACGTGATGGACGGACGGACGTTCCAGTTTGACCAGACCTCAAACCTAGGAGCGAGGCTAAAAGGTTTGGAAAGCGATTTGTTGGGATACGAATCACAGTACTATACCTCCCAATCAGTGTTTTTTATTTATGTTTATTTTTTTTTCGATATTTGATCTTCCAACTGCAAGATTTCCTGCCGAACTTCATGTATAAAACCAGCCAGTTCGACATGTTGTACAGCTGAATCTTGATTCAAGTCATAACGAATTTGCACCATGGGTCTGAAATCAGAACTGGTTGAACATACAGAAAACCCATTTCACTCACATCCAGACAGCCCGACATGTCCTCTTCTTCCACCTCTTTCTTTGGCCCTCCACTCCCGACGCTGCTCAGGTGGCCTTGCTCTATGCTGGAGTCCTATGGCTTGCAGGGACCACCTCGATCACCGCAGCTCGTTTTCCTGGGAGCATTGTCTCGGAGCGGTGGTCCTCGTGGTGCTCGGATGGAGAGGGAGATCGATGGATGGAGACTCCACCGGGTAGGCACGTGCGCCCTTTTGGAGGGCTTGTTTGGGGGAGGAGCGATCGGACCCGACGAACGCTCCTGGCCTTACTACGAATGGAACCAGAAGCTACGAACGAAGCAAAGGGCATCGCTACGAACGGAGCAAGGAGCTACGAACGTAGCTCCTGAGGTTGGGTCCTGCGCTGGGGGTTCAGAAAGCACGATATATAGATGGTATGTCAAGAACAGGTGGAACTTCGCAACCCCCAGCCTGAGGTCCCAGAAATAGCCTTGTCGTTCATCTGTCGTTCGGGCAGGGAGGTCGCCAGAGTCCAGTTTCACTGTCAAGAGAGGTTAAGCGACCTGAACGAGTCGGACCCGTTCATGAATAGAGGGCAGTGAATAGAGGGCAGCCTGGAGGTTTGTTGTTTCACTCCTACTGTCCCTGCCAAGAGAGGTTAAGTGACCTGAACGAGTCGGACCCGTCACCTACGGTACCCAACTGGGCTGGTCGAACAGTCGGCTTCTTCAACCTAGTCCCGTTGGGCTTGGTTTCGACACAGGTTGAGTCTGTTGGGCTTGGTTGAACTGGTTTCGACACCAAACCTGGGTCCTTAGTTTCACCTGTCGAAACCCAGTCGACTCAACTCAGTCGTCTCCGCAGACCTCGGCGCAGACCTCACTCCCAAGACCCGCAGCGGATGACCTGCGCTGTCTGGGTGAAACAGCGATCATTCCCCATACACGCGACCGCCAGACACGGGACGTCAAGCGTCCGGACTGCCTTCAAAACGCAAGAGTGGGGTTGGTGGTGGTGCCGGGGGTCTTGACCTGGGGCGGCAGTCCAGACTGGCAGTGCCAGACAGGTCGTGTCTGGGTTCTAGAGATACATCATGATACATCTAAGATACCGCTGACTACTGGTTATCTAAGTCATTTAAGTCATCTAATGATACATGAGTTGCCTGGTGAGTTTGTTGGGGGGGGTCGAGGAAATTCATCCTCAAGTAGACACAGAGAGAGGGACAGTGGGAGGGACAGTAGTCATCGCAACCTCATAGCGATGGCCTCCAACATAGACATGGCAAATGGACCTTGGCAAAAGGACACATTCCATGTTTTTTGTGAAGTGTCACCTTTCACTCAACATGTCTTCCGGACGACACACGCCGAACATGTCCGAGCTCAGTGCCGGTCAAAGCCCACAGCTGCGAAGCCATAGCAGATCCCCTGGCAATCCTGGTTTTGCCTAGGGTAATTCTATTTGTCCCTGTGCAGCCAATCCCCTTCTGGGGAGGTTTTTTTGCTTTCTCCCGCGAAAAATGACAGCACAGATGCTATCATCGTTTTCCCCCAGAGAGCTGAAAGCTCCTTCTCAATGACCGGGTGCCTGTTCTCAGCGATTTGGGTCCCCCGCGGAACGGCGGGCTTGGCCTCCTGACGTCGTGTCAAACGGCCTCCTGAAACCTGTCTGCCGGCGGTTCATCGGTTTGGGGTCTGGCCCCCTGCCTTTGTCTGATTACTTGTCTCCCCACTTGTTGGTATCTTGATGTATCTTGTGTTGTTGATCGTTGTCTGCCTCTTTGATCGTTGGTCTTTCGAGTGGCCGGTGCTGTCTGCACTCCGGTCCAAGTCATAGTTGTGGGCCACCGTTTCTCCGCATAGATTGCGGAGTCTTCACTCCCACAACTTAACCGTTCACCGTTTTGAAGAGCTCACGAAACAGCCAATGCACTGCCATTGAGTTGCCATTGAAGCATACGTGCTGGGACTAGTGCCACAATGGCTATGACTTGGGACCAACACTTCAGAGAGAAAAAACCGTTGTGGGAGGGCTCGTTGACGTTTTTGAGGTGCCAAGGTTCAAACGATAAGCCGCCAATGGATGTCCCTTTTTGAGCACTTCAGGATGGTCCTATCCATTCTAAATCTACTGCAATTTCGTTGGCTGACGAGGGCACACCCAGGGGGGCAGTGAGCTTTTGATCCAGACAAACTATACGACACTTCAGAAAGCAGTTTGCACGTTGCCGGATGTCCGGTCTCTAAGAGACCTTGCGCCCTTCATGATGAGGTATCATCCAAACGTGGGAAGTCATGTGGAGGTGTTCCAACTGGGCTGTTTGCAGAGGAATTGCCCGCAGCCGGAGGGTGGATAGACGCAGTTATCGCCCTGGACTGCGTGGACACCCTTTGGAGCCCAAAGGCCTCCACGCACTTGCAGGCTTGCGGGGGAGGTTGTTGCTACTAGGTTGGAGGCCTGTGCTACTAGGTTACTGGTAGCTCGCTCCGGACATGCCGTGGTTCGCAGCTGAGGATTTGATCCTGAATGCTGTGGCACTGTCTGCAACTCTTCAGGTGGACGAGCGTCTTGGCCAATCCGACACGTTGGGGCCGCGTGGGCAGCGTGGACCGATGCCCGTATGCCGGTCCATTGACCACCGGAACTCGCCGAACCCACCCGGAGTGACACGGAATGCGAAGCGCCACCACCGTGGTTGTTTCTCTTCAAAGCCCTTTCACTGACAGTAGTCTAGGTCCATGACTCCATGTCCATGGTCGCACGTCGGTCACGCCGGCGGTCAGTCAACCGGTCGGTTTTGGTGGCATGACCCACAGCCATATTTGGTAATGTTTCAGGTCTCCATAGTCTCGGATACATGATACACCATACCATGGGGTGTAGCCCATTACCAGCAACAGTCGGTCAAGGATGATCACACGGCCTGGAAACGAATCACCCACAAGCACAAGCGGCTGTTCCGAGCACCCGATCGAAGACCTTCAGGATGATTTTTGCGGCCTTGATGCCCAAGAAGATCCAGATCAACATCCAGGAGATGGGGTTTGGTGGGCCCAGAGACCAATCTTGCCCACACTGGGAGAGGTGAAGAGGTTACTCCGCGACCCAAGCATGTATTTCTAGCCATCTTTCCTCTTCCGATCATTCGGGGCCTGGGAAGAAAACGAGGAACAAAACACTCAACGGTGCCCAATCGACAGGCCTGCTACCTTTGTTTTTTTCAAGCTATTGGATTTAATGGCAAAGGCCTCCAACCTCATAGCGACGGCCTCCAACCTGATAGCGATGGCCTCCAACCTAATAGCGATGGCCTCCAACCTAATAGAGCCTCCAACCTAATAGCGATGGCCTCCAACCTAATAGCGATGACCTCCAACCTAATAGCGATGGCCTCCAACCTAATAGCGCTGGCCTCCAACCCAATAGGGATGACCTCCAACCTGATAGCGATGGCCTCCAACCTAATAGCGAGCCTCTGACCCAATAGCGATGGTCTCAAACCTGAAAGGTGAAGCACTGAATATCGGTTCACGGCCAACTGAGGGGGTCATTTCTACCGAAAGGGATCAGTTGGAATGAATAGTCCCAAACAACCATCCGGCTGCCAGGCTGTGGCGCACATTCTCGTTTGTTTTTTTCAGTTCGACCATGTTTTCTACGATTGTTGGCCACGCGTGCAGACAAACCCTGCTTCTTAAGGACAGTTTGGGACCAGCTCGAAAGTAAATGTAAGGGAGTAGTTTCAGGCAGAGGTCATAGACAAAGTCCACTGCATCGTTCCTTTTGCCCAAAAGTACAATCCTGCAACATGAAGATCATTCACATGTTTGTTTGTGGCATGTCATAATGTTTCCTGACCATCACAGGACCTAGAAGCCATCAAGGTGAAGTACAGCCTGGAGCCCCAAAGGAATCAATCGGAGATGTCCTCAACTCCTCAATCAAAAGTGGATGGTTTTTTTGGATGGAATCCGAACGCTGACAGACCTGATCGTTCTTCGAAGATACGTTTACGGACATCCAAGTTCTGACGTCAAAGTTTGGCATCACAGTTGACATCTATTGTTCCCAGACGCTCCGTTCACAGCCCGACGGGTCCCTCAAAGCCTAAGGATGGGTTCGACCCCAGACCCCTGACCCAGTTCGGATTCGGGTCCGACCCCCTCCATAGGTTCGGGGCTGCGTCCAGGGGTCGCGTCTGGGTTGATCGAATGGTTCCAAGCACAACTCGGTCACTCCCTTCCCGGGCCCCCGGAATTCATGGGATGCTCGAGAAACCAGACTGGCTCCTTTTCTCCAGTCCGGCAGGGGCTGCGCTGGGCACCCGCACCACCGTGGGGGGATCCACAGTGCGTCCCAGCACTTTGCGTGGTATCATGAGTCAAAACATTCAGTGGTTTGGGATATTTCTGACATTTTCAGCGTCGTTGATGACAGATTCATCCCTTTCCAATTAGATTTTCGAAGACCAACTCCAAGGACATTGTCACGTGAGAGAGGTGTTTGGCACCAAGTCACTGGTGCCAGCTTCCATGAGGTTTCGTCCTGCCAGATTTACACGGTACACGAAGTGCTGCCAGATTTGCAACATCTATACCTAGATCTTCCAACTGTGCAAAATTGATGCCTTTTGGTTGATTCAATCGATGAAAAGGTAGAAATTCTGCACAGTTGGAAGATCCAGGTATAACAGCCCAGGGTTGGCATTCTTTGGCCACGCGAGCTCGGGGAATCAGTAGAAATGGCGCAGGTACTTTTCAACATTAAGGACGCTACGAACGGGGCGAAACTGGCCTTACTACTAGTAACAAGAAGCTGTTAGAAACAAGAATTAGAGATAGAATTTAATTCAAATTGATTGGGTCTGTCCTATTACCTGTAACAGTCAGTAAACAACTATGGTTGAACAAGGCCTTTGCTAACCATCAAACAACCAAAAACCTTAGGGTTTCAACACCGACATTGGCATCTCGAGGTTCCCCGTAGACGTGTTCGTGCACCACTGGAAGGCGGACGTGTTTGCCCACACTTCGTTTTGGGTTTCCAAGCCCCAAACGCCACCAAACCTGAAAGCCGACCGTAGCCAAGCGCAGGGACCTGTACCCTAAGACCATTTTAGATACAAAGCTAAGGCAACAACCGCGAGCCACAAGCTTCAATCCAATTTTGCGTTAAGATTCTTGGAGAAGGGGGATCGCAAAGCGTGCTGTCATGTCAGGTTGAAGGCCAATGACACTAGACCCTTCAATATTTCACGAAGACAAACCAAGACATTTGCTCAACCTCGAAACTTGTTCGTTTTTTCCGGCGCCATCTCCTCGCTGCAATGCAATGCAGCATCTGCATGTGGCGACGGCCGCGGTTGTTCGGCGGTCCGCATGTTGGGGGGGTGCCTCCTCCACTCAGCGTGGGGGATCTCTTCCGCTCACCGTTTCAGCGCGCCGTCCACGCGAGAACGGCCGCGTGCGTTCCAGCACCTTCTGCCGCGTACGGCGCGGTCCTCCGAGGCAACGCTCGGAGCCAGTTCGAGCAGCTCGGTGTTGCGGGTGTGGCCAACGGTGGGGAGCTTCTGCAACGGGGTCATGAACTTGAGAAAGAAAAACGTGGGACACTTCATCATGGGTGGTTTCAACAAGTTTTCAAACTACCATAGAGCATCTTCTGTACAATTCTTGGACTAGATGTACAGATCTTTTTAAGGCTTTGCCGGAACCATGGGCTTTCCTGTGATGTGGGGCCAACTCGCGTAAGCCAGCCACTTGCGACTCATGGGGCCACATCTGTGATGGGATTTTGGGGGTCGAAGAGAGGCCACCAGGAGCCGTCCACCAGTCCGGACTGCCGTGCCAGGTCAAGACCCCCCTGGCACCACCACCACCACCCCTGGCCATTTCTCAGTCCGGACGCTTGTCGTCCCGTGTCTGGCGGTCGTGTCTGGATGTGTCTGGCATTCATCGGTTGGCGAGGAACTCGAACAGGTTGGACTTCCTGTGCTTCGCCCCCAGTTTTTGTTTGCCAGCGCTGCGAGGGTTCTTTCCTGGTCACCACAAGTGGGGATCTGCCGGTTCCAGCCCGCGGCTCCACTGAAGTGGAGCATGGGTACACACCTCCCTATGAAAACCCTCAAATCCTCAAGACTGTTTATGGCCAATCCCTATGCAAACCACCAGTGGCAGCACCAAAGAATGCATGGAGGCTCCCCTGCCGCGACGCATGGAGGAGGCGATGGAGGACGAACGTATAGCTTGCAGCTGCAGGCCATCGCAACGAACGCCACGAACGCTTCGCTACGAACGTCACGACACGAATGGAGGCTCCGGTCCTGCAGCGCGGTCCGGTCCTCATCCGAACTCGGATCCGTCGGAGGTCCGATCCGGTCGCTCAGGTCGGTGGTCTTGCTGCTCTTGATCACCGGGTTGATGCTTTGTCCGCCACTTGGAGTCTACGTGGTGTGACGGGCGGCCGGGGGGGGCGAAAGGAGGAGGTCGCCAGGTTCAGCACAAGCTGCGGCCGGGTTCGATGATCTTTGATCGGCATTCCTTCGGCATGATCTGAGAAACAGAAAAGAAGCTGGGAACATGTATATTATATAAATACATATAAAATATAGATAATGATAACAATCGATGTTGTTATCATTATTAATATTTTACAGATTTTTTTTGTTTGAAACGACACATAAGACATAGTCACTCACTCCTGTTTTCCATATTTCTGTATATACCTGGACCATCCTGTCTGGGTATCCTGGCCGGAGATCCCTAAGTACTGCAGGGTAGTAGGGCGAAGATCTGATCCGATTGGCACCCCCCGCCATGGGGAGTCAGTTGTGTGGTCCGGGGCCAGGATGTTGCACCAGCGGTTTTAGCGGTTTTCTGTGGGTTTCATTCGGGTCATCTACCACGTGGTCACTTGAAAAAGCCTCCATTTCAGCCCCCCAAACTTGGAGATGTGTGAGAAACTGGGAGAACGTGGACTTTCAGAGGCATTTGGTCAAAGTCGTCAACGGGTTTTCAGAGGGCCCAGGATGTTCAATCATTCTATGACACTGACAGGCGTTTCAGGCACACACTGGGAAGAGTTATTGGGTGGAACTGTGGAACGATGTCAAAGCCCAGAACCTCCTAAGTCCACTGCCTTATGTAAACAAGCGACACCATCGGTTGAACTGAGGACGAATCATCCTGCAACAGCCTGAGGGCCTCTACGATTGGGGAGTGCTTAAAAACATTCACAAATTGCAGGTACACGAATGGACGTCTCCATCCGCTTCCCCTCCTGCGATTCAGCTTCGTTGGACAAGGTTCATCGCTGGAGGCCTTGCCCCCTGCTTCAGAGCTCATGTGAGTTAATGCAGTCACTCAGCCGCTTGTTACAGCGGTTCACATCAAGGTTCCTTTTGGCAGCGCTTGGGCCTTCTGGTGGACGCAGGTGAAACCTGGGGTTCCCGAAATAGATGTGACGTTGCTTTCCGGAACAGGAACACTCTAGCAACCCAGATGCGAGGAGTTCATAGAATCATCCCTAAGGATCCTTGGACCCTCCTTAGAAGGGCTCGAACCCTCTATAACAAGAGTTTGTACATGTTTGTACCCTCAAAACCCTTGTTTTTGAGGGTGCGGATCCTTAGGGATAGAACTTTAGAACAAAGAGAGTCTGTCTTCAATGGACCATTTTGTTGAACATTCACTACCGTCACAAAGGCCTCTGGAAAGCTTAGATTTCTTCAAGGCACCCAGCCCAACAGTGTTTGAATATTTCCAGTACCGTCACTGAACTCTTCGAATCCGATGCCACAAACCCAATGCCCCAATGCCCGTGGCGTGCTCTCTGAAGCGTGACACGTGGAGCGCGGAGCCCGCGGCTCGCGTGTCGAGGTATTTCAGCCTGGTGGCGCCCTTGGCACAAGACATGTTGGAAGTGAAGCGCCAGTACCTTGGAGAAACAAGTGCGCTAGGAACAAAAAACTACTAGGTTGGAGGCCATCGCTAGTAGGATGGAGGCCACTAATAGTGGGAACAAAAAACTGCTATGCTACTAGGAACGAGAAGCTATACTAGTAACAAGTGCATCGCTATTAGTACCTTGGACCTAAGAAACGACCGGAGAATGACGGATGGAACGACGAAGCCGTGACGACTTTCCGGGTGCCGATGGGGGGGGTCGAGGAAACCCGACGAACGACGGCATTCCGAATTCCGAAAGAGTGGGACGCTTCTTGCAGGAAATCAGAGTTCCACCAAACCATGTTGGTTCAGGGCCAGCAAGTGCCCGAACGGGATGTCCACCGCAGTCAGAATGACGTTTATAGCGGTACCTTTTTTCTTCAGCGTCGAACACCCAGTATGACCACCCAGTATTATTTGTTTTTGCCTTCAGAGTCTAGCGACCACGTTGAAAGGCCGTGCTTTGAGGAGTTCTTTTGCTTGATCACCCTGGGAACCTTTGGGAACCGAAGTATCGGGGATTCGTGCCAGACAGAGGCAGTTCCCGTTTTTTTCGCACGAATGTATTGGTCCTCATGGCTCAAAGAGTTTCATTGGCAAGCGCCAACTTTTCATGGTAGGTTTTATGATTCACGGAGTCCCAAATAAGATAAATTAAGTGCAAACCAAAACATTGGTAATTTACAGCACGTCAGACACTGTGAAGTCGATTCGGCCCGTGCACCGCCATGTACAGCCCCGACGCAGCGTACGCCATCACTGCCCTTCTCGTCGCCGTGATCCTTTTAAGTGGACTTTTAGGGCTTGTGATAAGGTCGGTGTGAGACCAAACTAGAGCCAGCTAACTGAAGGTATATCAACACCTTCAGTTCTTCCATTCGCATGCACTTGATGCGCGTGCCCAAGGTTGCCAAGCAACACTGGTTACTGTTGGTTCACGACAAGCTCATGATAGTTCATGGAGTGCAATACTGTTGACAATCAAACCTCATATGGACATAGTTGACCATCCTGTTTCTGAATCTAGGAAGGGTGACTCTCAATGAACCGGCAGCAGTCAACGTTATTTGCCTCCAACACCATAAATACTGTTGCTTTCCTTCTCCAAGGTCTTTTGCTTCCACCATAGCGCTGTAGCGCTGTAGTGCTGGTTTGAGACCGGCGCAGTGGCCCGAATTCCCTGCAGGTGCCAATTGGAAAGGACTCCATCTCAACTTCTCACGGAGCGATTTGACGTGCAGAGGTGACGGGGCGAGCGGGGTTTACGCGCGTGGACGGTCCAAAAGACCTGCAAATGGATGGGAGTAGTTAGTGAAAGATGCTAAAGACTCCGATGTGTGTCATGGGTTGTGAAAGCCAGGACTACAACTTTCTATAGCATTTTTGCATGAGATGCAAGTGCTGGCAAGCAGGCCTTCCCTGCCTGTCCAAAGCCAAAAGGAGGCTCATGTTCTGCAAACCATATATTTATATAATTTCCAAGTCCAGTGGCAATGTGTCGGATGCATAGCACGCCTGCTGAAAAAGTAAACTCCATGGACGATGTCTTGCAAACCCTGACACTCCGGGGACACATCAACAAGCTTTTAGCAACGTCATTTGAAATAGCCTAGGCAAAGGCGGCCTCAAACAACAGCTTTCCAGAGTTTGCTCTGAGAGACCAATACTCAGCAAGCCATGGGCTAGCTGTATTGCCAATGCCAAGGGTGGCAAACCACTGCGGGTGGCAAACACAACGCCCTTATTCCAAAAAATCACCGAACTATGCGAACAGAACACCTAGCAGACCGTCTGCTTCGTCCGCTTCCTTGGCTGAAGGGGTCCGGTTTGGAGTCGTCGCAGCCATTGAGTCCACGAATTCCCCAGTCGCATCAAGCATCGGGACGGGAGCTTCAACACCAAACCGTGCCAAGAGCTTCCCAGTGACCTTTGTCCGACCCAAGTGCACTTAGGTCACCTAGGATCTCACACAGATCATGTTTGTCATAGCTGGTCTGTGCGTTGGCTCTCAATGCAGTGATCTGAAGCTCGGTCACTGGGAAGGGGATTACTCTGGCAGCCAGATGCTTTGATTCCAGGACACCACGTGCGGGCACTGTGGGCGGTGTCCTGCACAACGGCACTAGACTCGCATGCGACCAAGAAGACCGGGTCCAACCACCAATATGCTGCGGAAAAGAAAACCATTCGGTGTTTCAATCACCTTGACACATCTCCTCATGTGTCATTCGCAACTCGGGCTGGGCGCGTCGGCTGATCAAGTCCCGCAAATCGCATGCGACCCCACTGGTGTCCGGACGGAGCCGTGGGTGGACAAGTCCAGCTGCGGAAGCGGCCATGCGATGCATGGCATTGCCCCTTCAAAAACGAGCCTTTTTGCGAGCTTTTTTGCGGACTGCGCTCCAAAACCCTAGATACTCAAATAAATATAGATAAACGTACACTTTCAAGGTTGGAGATGTGTTTTTAAGTCTTCGTTTTGATGCGGGCCCGCAGCAGACTATGGTGATACAGCAAGGCAGCGCTAGATTGGCGCTAGGTTGACGCTAGGTTTCTTCATAACTGGACAAGCAAGCAGGAAAACTAATAATCAAGCAAAGAGCAGGAAAGAAGAAACAAGACAAGAAAAAGGAAGCAAACAAGAATAATAATAGTAGAAATAATAAGAAGAAGAATGCACAACAAGAAGCAGACAAGCAAGCAGGAAAAATAAACATCTGACAGGGTAAAGAAATCAATGGGGATTTTTGCTCTAGGCTGGCGGTAGATCTGCGCTAGACGACGGTCCATTTCTTTACCATTTGCCCATCCAACACCCAAATCTTTTGAGTCAGCTTTTACGTCCTTCCTATGTCGTTCTGAAGATTTCTGGGAACTAAAAATTGGAAGCAACTGCAGAAGTCTAGCAGCAGCAGCAGTGTAGCAGCAACAACAACAGCTCCAGAGGCTCAACAGGCCCCTGAAAAGGTCCGCGCTGGACACCTCTCACAGTTTTTGCAGTTGACACGCCTTCATGTTTAACATCCCTGTGCTTTGAATGTGGTTGGAGTTTACAGGAGACTTAGAAGCGGGCCCACATGGAATTGCGATGAGTGCACCAGTTTGGGAAAAGACATTTTGGAAACCAACCATATATGAATAATATCACCAAGCACCCCAGTCGCTGATCGTCTTTTCCGTCTTCTCCTATCAAAACAGAGTTCATGTCTGGGCTCTTCTCGGTTCTTAGAATCAATGGAGGGAGACGACCATTTCCCACCATGCTAAAAGAACACCATGGACCATGGCCTTATCTATCAGAAGTTTTGCATGGGGCGATGCTCCCGTTTTCGTGTGGGGCCGTTGAACAAAAAAGGGATAAACACTGGGGGGTTGTGGCACGTTCTCACGAGCAACCACCGGAGTGAATATGATGTATTTTTGGTTTGTAGATGTTTGTAGGGTTTCCTTGGATCTAACATTCCAACCAATAACGTTCTTATTTTTGTGTTGGCTGAAACAGCCACTAAGTCACTTGGTGGGATGACCACACACCAGTTTTCAACTCTGCACACCTGGTCGAAGGCTGGTCGAAGAGCTTCCGTTGGGGCACGCTGACGGAGCGTCGACGTGTGCGATTTGCTTGGATCAACTGGAGCGCCACGAGCAGGTGAAGCAGCTACCATGCCAGCATTGCTATCACGAAGAGTGCTTAAAAAGATGGGGCATGTCTCATGGATGTGTTTGGACCGGCCCCAGTACCGCGAAGTTCTCTTGTCCGCTTTGCAAGCAAGATCACACGCTCCACATGGCGGAACATGTTTGAAGCAACTTCCGACTGCCTTCCATGGCGAGTGGATGTAAGATCATTGACCACACTCCTGCCTATATTGTAGAATATTGACAGCCAATCCTGAAAAGTATTGTCAAACATGTTGTCTGAACCAATCATTTTTTGTGGGCTTTTCTACTAAGCTTGGGGGCAGTCGAGGACCTATGCCAACCCACGGTCCGACGGTCCTGCATCTCTCACGCAGTGCGGCAGAGGATGCACATGCGATCCATGCTCGAAGACGTACCGTGAGAAAGAAGCAGGGGCGGGTTCTTCGTTTGGCAAAGTTGCAATTTTTCCACGCGACTGAATGAATCCCAGCGGACTGATGGGTTTGGAGCATTCGGTATGGAGACATTGCCAGCATGACAATGTCGGTTTTGTCTTTCACCGCACGCACTGCCCTTTTACCGAGCGACGGTGCGTCGAAGACCTGACAAAACGGGAATCACTTGTTTTAAGATCATCTAATGTAGAGTCTTGAGTCTTGATGAATAACCCCCCAGACATGGATTGTAAAACCTCTTCATGTGGGGGTTGATATGTCATTCATTATAAGAAAAAGTGCTTCCCTTTTGTTTTGCAGCACGATGTGTGCCTCGACTTTCGGTGGACTTTTTCGACCCAATTGGACTTTCGGCCCATGCGCCCAATTCTTTGAAGTTGGGGCCCCGTCCGCTTTGATCGTTTCTTGAAACATGGCTGAGCTGCTTGCCACAGAGACATTACAAGTCGCCTGAGTTTTGGAGCCACAAGGGACCTGTTTTGTCTCAACCTGTCTAGACACTTTTGGGAAAAGATCAAGACCTTTCTCCCGATTAACACGAACCCCAAAACCACTGTCTTCCATCGGTGAACTCTCAGGTTCCATTCCTTTCAGGCCACGCGCTTTCTCCAAGAAACATGGGATGACCACAAGGGACGCAAGGAGTTGGTGGCCTTGCTTCCTCGCTTCGGCGTCGTGGGGGCCGTACGTACGGGCACGTGACTGCCTATAGGCGTGTAACCTTTTGGTCGGACCGTGGTCTGTGGGACACGTCTGCGTACGCATGCTGGTGCGTGTGCTCTTTGATCTGGTATATGGTTGGTCCAAGGACACTGAGGAGAACGGGAAGAGCACACTGCTGCCACTGCAAGGACAAGCACCACAACCAAAACAACTTGTCCGAACATGCAGTTTTCTGTGGAACATACCATGAACATACCACATAAGGTTAAAAACAACACTTTCACACACACACACAAACAAACATCAACAAAACCATATCACCCTCGGTGGGTTTCGGAGCAAGCTCATCACTTGCGCCCTCGCAGGGGCCATGCCCTGGGCCCCAGGACCCCTTCCGTTGGTGTAAAATAGGACTTGTCTCACAAAGTTGATTTCTTTTTTGCAAGGCTTTCGGCTTACGCTGAAGCGGGATTGATCGAAACGGGACACAAACTTGTCAAAAGGAGAAACGTTGATAGAATGAGATTGATGGACCATCCCGTCACATTGAAATAAACAAAATCAGTGTTCATTTCCCAGGATTCGGCGCCTGGATTTTTTGGATTCCGCGCCCTATTGAACAAGCAGCTTAAAAAAAGAACGGGGGTCCAAGGCCAGGGGCCGCCCGACCACCGTGGGACCCTTTTCCAACACACGCCAGTGGTTTTTCATGGTGCTTCTTTGTCTTTTTCGGACCATGTCATCCATGGATTCAATGTCATCCCTTTGTTTTTCTTTTTCTTTTTCATGGTTTTCCAGAACGGAGGTGTCTGCCATGGTCGATGTCATCCGACTGGACGTCCGACGGGACTTCTTCCGTTTCTTCGAGTGATGTCGGACGTCGAGTCGGACGGACCTGAAGACCTGAACATGTCTCAATAACGGGAAGAAAGTCCAATGAACGCACTGTTATATATTATATATATACCTAGGCTTCCAACAACCATTAATTTAATAGGCGGGTCATCCCGAATCAACTAAGGATTTTACACTACAAAAACCAGGTCAAGCATTTTTAAAATGGTCTTGGACGTCTAGGGTACATAATAATATACAATATTTATAATATCCCAGAATGAGGTCACGAAACGGCCTTGATTTCAGGTCACTTACCAATCCTCAAGAGGTGGGAAGGTCCTGGTATATATACCAGGGGCCCCACAAACCATCAAGAACCTGGTTTTCTCTAGCAAAAAAAACTGATTTTTGTATCTGAAAACCTTTGTTTTTCATGGTTTGCTTCGGGATCTGGTATAAACTTATAATACATGTCTCAACAACTGGATGGGTTTCATGAGGTCATCCACCTCCTTCGTCACGTCGAATGGGTTCGACGCTTTCGTGGCATCAGGGTGGCATCAGTCCTTGTGTTTGAGAGCGATGCAACCGGTGTAGTAGAGTAGAGGGATGATATGCTTATGAATGAGGATGGTGATGGAGTGTTGAAACCAACGGACTGATAATTCACCAGAATCACTATGAACAGGTTGGCTCGTCCTGTCTCTTGATTTTTAGGAAGGCGTCAGTAATTGTGTCATGGCTTTTTGTATCCGTCCGTAAACCTGATGAACGTGGCTGGGCTTTGACATGTTGCTTGACATGTCTATTGACATGTCCCTGAACTTTTTGTTGGCCCGCGGCCGAACTGACCTGTGAGAATCATTTGTAGACTTGGTTTTGCCTGCAGTGATGCTTCAAGTTTCACACTTTGGCGAGTTCATTCAATCATTCATTCAATCATTTGTCGCATTTGTCGCGTTTTCTTTCAAGCAAATCCAAGTCGAAGACGGTGCGAACGTCCACCAGTTGCTTCGGAGCAACACATCCAACTGGACCATGCGCAAGGCGAAAGATCAGCGGTTTTCCGGTTAGGCGCCACGGGGCGGGATCCGCCCGCCACAAATCCTCCATTTTTTGGACAAGCAGTGCTTTTCAACGGAACATGCTGAAAACCTGGACCTGTTTTGTGAGTGTGACTGGTTTACTCAACCTCATGTGCAGAGGAGGGTTGTTTTCCTTGTTTTCTCACCATTTGATGGCCTGACTACCAACACTCTGGCTGGGTAGTGAGAAAAAGCAAAGAAACAACGACGGGATCGGTGAACTGTCTTCGACCCAACCGACGTTGCCATCCCTTTAAAGGACCTTAGAAAATGGGACATGACCCCATACAAAACAGGTACCAAACGTACCCATTGAACGCGAGGTACGATCTGAGACTCCATCCCTGATAGAGAATCACAGAAGGAATCGATGACACTACGGTGGGCTGATTGCCCATCGTCGTTCTCCAGTGTTGTATCCAATCTATTTGGCAGAAGAGCAACTCTATTCAACTAGATACCCTCCGAGATTCAAGACCTTTCTACATTAAGGCCTCACTTCTCTAGTATCAATTTATGGACGAAACCATCCGTTCTTTCAGATCCGAATGGTTTTTGGCGCATGAATTCTGCCCGAACTCCGCACATGATCTCGCTGCGCCTGTTGGTCAAGGCCTGACTGAGAGAGTGTACCTGGTAAGATCAACAGCGACGGGGTGAACCCCTGAAGTGGTCATTTGGCATGTCCAACGAGGCATGTGCTACACCCCCTGATTGCAGTTTTCTGTCGACGGACCGGAGTCTGCACAGAGACGGACCCATCTCCCAGGTACTGCGCAGGGAACCAGGATTTCGTGGTGGGCGGCAACAACATGCAGAAGGCGCGAGTTCCTCGCGGTCGCGGTTTTCAGCCAGGTCCGCGACAGACCCGACCCCGCGACTCACTGTGGCCCCTGTGCCTCGGCCGGTCCACCTGGTCCGCCCGGTTATTACCAAAAGGGTTGGCCTGGTTTTGGAGTCCAAAAGTCCTTAGTAAAACAAAGGTTGTTCGGTCTCTCTCTTGCGGGTGTCACGCTTCTCAAGGACCCCTTCCACCGTATTGATGGGGGTTTCCAGAGAGTTGTTACTCAAACGGACAAGGATTGGGATGTGACCCCGTGATTCAAACAACGGTTGTTCGGTAAGAACCATTAAACCAACTGTGGCTAGAATCCCAGGGTAGGTCTGTACTGTTGATGAATCAAGCTCCCTAGGCCTGATCATGTGAACGGCCATCAAGCACCCCCCCCAGGCTTGAAGAGGTGTTGCAATCCACGTTTGGGGGACGTTCATGTTCAAGTCTCTTCTGAGAAGGTATGTGGATCCCATCCACCCTGTGCAGGGAGGTGTCGTACCCTGCACCTGTCGTCCTGGGACTGTTTGGGCTTTCTGGGAACTTCCCATTCTCCTCCAGCTGGGGGGGTGGTCCACGAAACCATGGGGCTGTTGCATGCCAGGACCATCCTGTCTGGGTGTTCAATGGACTACCCGGTACCCTGCACACCCCTACAGTACAGACACCGATGATGTCCAGGAGGTTCTTTTTTTGATCGGCTGCTTCCAAATGTGAAGAAGAGCATAGGACTCGCATCACGGCTCACATCTGGCCGTGGCCTGAACAACCAGGACAACAAAAACCACGAACGGCACCGGGTTCCGGGAAGCAAACGTACCAAGACCTTCCCACCTCTTCAGGATTGGTAAGTGACCTTTTCAAGGCCTAAGTGACCTCATTCTGGGATCTCAAAAGGTCACTGGGAAGGTCCTGGTTCTCAATTCTTTCTTAAGATGTGTCCGTTTTGCAGGAATAGGCTGCCCTCCAAAAATGCTTCTTTACCCCAATCATGGGCACCAGGAAGCTGATCGTTGACTTATCTCGCCAGATCACCGTTGGCTTCAAGACCAAGCCCTTCAACATCAGCGAGGAGAATTCCTTGAGCCAGTTCGCCGTCGCCTGTCGCGGACGCGCGAACGCCGCGCGACGAAGACGTGGGACCGTCCTCGGGCGGAGAGGAAGCGGTTTCCATCAGACTCTTGGAGTGTGACCAGTCCCAGACGCTCCATGTATGCCATATATGCCTACATTGGGGTGGTTTGGGGGGTCAATGTAGGCATATATGGCATACATGGAGTGTATGGGAGTTGGATGAATGTGGAGCAAGATCTCCGTGGTTTGTTGTTCGGTCTTTGAATAGATCTCAGCCGATCTCAACATGGTCCGCCTGGTGAGCTGCGAAGCTCTGGTCAGTTGGTCGTCTCAAGAATTGCAAGCGACCCCACATCAAGTCATGGGCAATCAGAGTTGTCGTTTCTTCTTTGAAGCAGGCCCTGCGGTTTAAGGAGCTTCTGGAAGTTCTTGATCGCGCTTTAGAAGCTGTCAGCCCATTGTTTTCCAGTTGGGGTGACCACCAAGAAAGCTTGATCACTTCTATTCGTGATCACCCGAATCCTCATCTCTTCTTGCGGGCCCACGGGCATGCTTTCGTTTTGAGATGGTGAAAGGACCGGGACAGGCAAGCTTTCAGAGGAAATCTGGAACCTGCCATCAAATTCTCTTGAAACTGCCATCAAGAGTTGCCATGAAACATGGAAGACGCTTGTCATTTTGGTCGTTGAACGTCTCAGTTGAGACGCCAATCCTTTGAACTACATCGCCCTGCCTCAAGCGCCCAGTTCATCGCCCTGGGCAGTTCGTTCACCCGCAAACAGCACCCGGCACGGAGGCACTGTGCTTACCCTCCTTTTCCAGCGTTTTAACAGCAGAAGAATTCGGCCCCCCTCCTTCCGCCGGACGAACGAACACCGCGGTTTGAGACCGTCTCGCAGGTCGAAGATTGGATCTGGCGCCAAGATGAGACCGTGTCGCTCCTGGGCGGAGACGCGAGGGCCTGCGGGTTCTGCGGTTTGAGCGTTCGGCGCTACAAGCGCCGATTTTCCTCAGACACTCCATGGGACTGCCACATATATGTCTACAGTATAGGTTTTCTCTAAGAGATCTGCAAGAGTCAGTTCCAACCGAAAGACGGGCCTTCATCGGCTCGACGTTCCGGGGATGGTGTGAGTGGGACCGGTTCCCAGGTCATCTCCAGTGCGTCTCCCGGTCCTGAAGATCCAGCCAGTCACGACCAGACATGGGACTGCCAGTCCGCCCCAGGTCAAGACCCCCCCAGGGTCAACCACCAGCCCTGGCCGTTTTGAAGGCAGTCTGGACTGGCAGTCCCATGTCTGGCGGTCGTCACTGGGCCAGTGACTCGACGAGGTCATGCCAGCGCTTCCGTTTGGAGCCGATGGTCCAAGAACCCACGAAGGGTCCAAGGTCTTCATGCCTTCGACCACAACGAACAACCCACCAGCACGAGGTCCCCCGTCTACATTCGCAGCAAGCTGTGCTAGAGGTCCCCGACCGTGGTCGGCTCCAATCTCCAATTGCCTGGGGAATCGCGAGAATCGTTCTCGCACCTTTTGGGACGACGTTTTTCTCTTCCCACCCATGCCACTCAGCATCGCCGTAGCCACTTTCAGACTACCGAGAGGTGGCATGACGATCGCGGGCTGTGCACTCAGACCCTTGATGCGACCCTCCATGCTTCAGGAACTACATCCTTTTCAAGAAGGAGCCGAGCAGCTCACGGGTGGACCAACGCTTTGGTGAACGGGTGGATTTGGTCTGATTTTGTGGGGATCGCTATACTGTAAGCGGGGCCCGGCCACGAAAAGGGACAGTAGAGAAAGAATATGAACATATATTGAACAAATCTCAAGAAAAGATGTGCATGTGCATTTATTTTATGGCCTAAGGTGGATCAGATCCCTATTCCATCTGCTCTCGTTTCCTTGCCCCAGCAACTCCCCCGGCATGCGGCTTCTTTAGGCTTGCTTAAAAAAAAGCCTTCGTCTGTCTAGACCTTGTCGTAGTCCGTCGTCCACAGGAATTGGGCGAATTCGATCAGCAGCTCTCGATGCCCTTGTCGACCTTGGCTTCCTTCGAAAACACCTGCGAGGTGGGCGGTTCTCGGATCCGGCGATGCATCCCCCGAGCGGGTTTCCCGGCGGGTTTCCCGGCGTTCAAGCGGCCAAGTCGTGTTGGGGGAGGAGAGCCCAGGGCGAGTTTTACTGCAGAAGCGTTGGTGAGTTTGGGGAACATGAGCAAATCAAACATCGTCAAACGAAGAACCCTATGGATCCACTGCCACCTTCTCAGAAGGTAATTGGACCTTCCTGGCGCCTACATCAATAGTCTCCCTGCTCACCCTACCTCAGGTTCGGTGGCAGTGGATCCGGGGAAGACTTCAGAACCTAGAAGCAATGGCCTCCAGCCCAGCGGTGGCCTCCAACCCACTGCTCCCTGCTCCCTGCTCGTTCGCAGTTCATCCTTGTGAAGAGCCGCTTTGGACTGTCCCCAACGCATCGTTTTTGGCACGTCACGTCCGCGGAGGTGACCCACGGGGGGACCTCTCAAGCAGATAGAGCCTGGTGACACCGGACGTCAACCTGTAGAAATGTCCGATCTCCTGTCCCTGCAGATCCGGTCGTCCGGACCTTTGTTAGGGCGGGTCGGGGGCGAAGGCTTCCTGCTGAGTTCACCAGGGTGGCCCCGAAGCAAACCCTGGCTTTGTGGACCGGGTGCGGATCCTATCCGGGTGTCTCCAAAAACCATGAGGATCACCATGCAACGACACCACATTGTTGTGGAGAAACTCCGTTTCTCACAGGACCTTCAAAGTGACCGAACTTGAGATTGAATGAGGTCACTTAGAGACTCCAAAGAGGTCACTGAGGTCACTCCGTTTCTCCATGTCATCCCGGTTCGACCGGAGGATTGGGACGCGACGTTCCTGAAGGGAGGCACCACCGAAAGCTGGCAGGACGTTCGTGGCGTCACTCGTCGGTCGTCGTTGGGCCGGGCGGCTTTCGTTCGTCGCAGCCAGTCGTCACTCTCCCACCTGGCGCCAGCGACCTCGAGCTCCAGGCTCTGAGCGAGCTCTTTCCACCTTTTTGGAAGCCAGGTCACCTGCCACAGCTCCCGGTCTCCCAACTCTGAGCATCTTTGATTTCCATGTCCTCCCCTAGACCCGCTCCAGGGAGATCGAGCTGTCTCCTCGTCTCGAGGTATACCACGAGCCCGCCTTTCTCGTCCACCCCATCGGTGTACCACATCCTCTTCTTCGGGGAACCTGCCCTTCTCGTCCACCCGCCCGGCAGTTTGAAGAACCGAAACAAGGACCGAAGAGGATTTTTGGCACCACCCAAGTAAATGAAGATGTTCCGAACTTCGGATCACCTGGTCAGACCGTTTTAACTTCGAGTCCCCCAAGCCGTGGCCCTCCATCGTGGTTTTCTCAAGCAGTGGCCCTCCTCGGCCGTGCCGGTCGCGTCGCGTCGTGGTCCCCGACTCACTGTCACGTCGGTCGTGGCTCGTCTGTTGATGCGTCCGGTCGATCCGGGAACACCCGTCGATCCGATGTTCCTGGTTTTCTTCAGACTTCCTTGGGGGACTGGCCCACTTTGGAGGCTTCGTGCGCTTATCCCTTCTTCCTGGACCGGAAAACGACCAGAAAGATCTGAGTCGTTTTGGGGAAGAGGGTCGCTTTGGAGTCGTTCTACAACACAACCATGAGAAGCGGAAGACATCTTTCGGAAAAGAAACACGTGTTTCACCGTGTTCCCCCCCAAATAGCCACTCAGCGGAACAATCATGGTCACACGAGAAATCAGAAGAAGTTTCTCCCCAGAAGTGTGGACCCTTCGAAGAGGTCTGGGGCGAGGACGGTTGACGACGCTGGTTCTTGGCTCAAAGGAAGCAGGAACGGTGAGTAAGCCACCTTTCTACATCCTATGATGGAAGCAGTCATGCGTCCTAGAAGGTTCAGTGTTCAGTCATTGAATTACTAGCACAGGACACTTTCCAGCATCCCTTCCGCGACTTCTTCCCCCATGTACTGGACGCAAAGTGCGTTGACGGTCACGATCGTGGTCTTTATCTGCATCATTGTCGTGGCATGCATCATTGCCATAGTAGCAGTGACGAGGCATGAGGCCAAAAACGAGAAGGGAACCCCCTGGTAGGTGAACCTCTTCAGTTGTTCCAGTCCCAGTTGATGAACATGCTCAAAAGTGCCAAGAAGGAAGATGTGTTTTGTTGACATGTGATTAGTGACTGGAGTGTAACACTGTCGATGAATAAACCTTAGACATTTTGACCATCCTGTTTCTTGAACCATCTTGAACCTCTATGTCCTAGCCTTCAAAGACTATTAAAAGAAGTGTTGACCTGGTTTTTTCGTGCAAAATCCATAGGAAAACAAGGGTGATTGGCAAAGACCAATAGAACAATGCATATATGGTTGTTGGAATAGAAAGCGCATAGAAAGCGTGACTCTATAATCAGTCAGTCATGACAGTGGTCAACCCATCGAGACCCGCCGTGGGTTGGGAAAGCTCCACCCTGTCCGACCCGCCTTTTTGCAGGTATCAAAGCGGGATTCCATGCGCTCCGACGCCACGCAACATCCGGGAACCCCGGGAATTCCACACAGACCAGAACGTGCTCAGGCGAGGATGGCCTGCCACGCCCCGAACGTTCCGACTGCCGGCGTGCGGTTGGCGGTTTGGGCGCTGCGACCGATCGGGTCGACGGTGGGGAGAGAGAAGAACCGGTGCAACTGCCGAGGATCTCGGTGAAGAGAGCGGAACCACCAGAAACACACCAAAACCACAAGGTGAACAAGCTGAAATGCATCAACTCAACCAGCCGCCACCACAACACCAACAAAAACAAAAAACAACCTCACAACAACTGCGCCAAGCAACCAAAACAATCCGCTCATCCCAATGCTGATTTGAGGCAGTGTCGCCTCAACAAGATCTTCCCATGCAGGAGTACTTCCATGAGTGGGAATAGTAAATTTTGCATGTGGCATTCTGCTTCAGCAAGACGTCTGCTTCAGGCCGCACATGCGTGGAACCACAGGTGTTCGGCGCAAAACATCTAGTAAGATCATTGAATCGGTGAAACGCATGTGGCATGTAGCCTGAGATTGTTTGAGCGCGAGAATGGGAGCGGGCGCAGTCGAGGCCGGCCACGGACAGGATCGCTGGGTCGCTGCGGCGCTGGGTCGTTTGACGTGGACCCTGCGCAGGAGACAGGACTTGCTTAACACTTGCCTACCTGGACCATGCTGCACCTGCCTTACCAAAGAGAGGAACCTTCCCTACAAGTCGAAGACCTCATTTTACTGGGGATGGTCATAGTCATACAAAACCCATACTTAACGAGGCAAAAGACCAGGTTTTACTGGGTCTTTGGACTTGCAGGGCTTTGTTCACCAAATGACTTTCTTGGTACCGAAGGGGAAAAAGCGCGCTGGTTGGCAGGCACCTGCCAGCGAAACTTGTTGTGACAGTCTCACACGAAATGTGTGTCCGGGGCTGCGGTGGCTCTCGCTACATGTGCTGTGCAAATGAAAAGGGCTTCAAAGACCGTTGGAGGTCTTGGTGGAAGCCATCGGTATTGGTTTGGAGGCCATGCTTTGGAGGCCATTGCTATTAGGTTGGAGGCGTAGAGTTAAGGAGTTGTCCAGAGCCACTTTGAAGCAAAATCGAAACGGTGGTTTGCGAGAACAGGGCGGAGAACAGTGGCGGATTGAAACCACTTTTCAAAGCCCTTTTCACCTCTGTGGTGAAAAATGCCAGCCAAATAAGACTTTTGTGCATGACCAATGACATCTTGTCGGAGAAACTTTTGGTGCGAGACCGTCGTTTCTTCTGTTTTGATCCTTCTTCGGGGCAGTCCCCGACCAGCGCAACGCTGAACACCCACATGGACAACAGAGTGTCGCTTAGCCTTTGGCGCCCACAGTTTTGGGCAACACTATAATAATATATAAATAGTAGATGAAAAATCCAGACCGCCACCACGGAAAGGGTTGTTTATAAACACCCCTGACTTATGTATTTTCCTTCCGCAATAACAACCCGAAATCCGTGGGGACATAGTTTGGTCAGGCCGTTTCGTTTTCAACCGTTCATGTAGAGGATTCGCTTTGTCGTTTTTTCACCACTCTGGCAGCTCCCTGATCGAAGGCTGGTCGAAGAGCTTCCGTTTGGCCAGGGTGACGGAGCGTCGACATGTGCGATTTGCTTGGATCAACTGGAGCGCCATGAGCAGGTGAAGCAGCTACCCTGCCAGCATTGCTATCACGAAGAGTGCTTAAAAAGATGGGGCATGTCTTATGGATGTGTTTGGACCGGCCCCGGTACCGCGAAGTTCTCTTGTCCGCTTTGCAAGCAAGATCACACGCTCCAGCGGATCCACGTGAACGTAGAGAACGTTTGAAGCCGACCACCGAGGTCGCTCTCTGGTCACCCGATTGCATCGGGGGAAGGTCGCGGTGGTCCGAAGGCACCGCCTCGGCCAGGTCCGAAGGACTTGCTGAAGTTGAGGAACCCTTTTTCAATCGCAACTGGGTTCCTTTACACTTCAAAAAGGTTGAAAAATGCTAAAAGGCTCCCTTGCCTTTTAGGACTTGCTAAAAGCTTGCCACTAGGTTTAGGGAGTTTTTCCTTTACACTCAGACTTTTCCTTTGTGACGTTCGAGTCACGATGAGCGAACGCTCAACATTTCTCTTCTCATGACGGCCGCTTTTTCACCCAGCGGCCGCAAAGGGGGTGCGCAGGCGGCGCATTCAGGATGATGGTTGTAGAATTTGATGTTGCAGCGCCTTGTTTGAAGAGAGTGCATCGTCACCGGACGGGCAGGCCACCGATCAACCTCCGTCAACACCTACCGAGGCTCTATGCAGAAGACTACCATCAGCCTTCCGCATGGCCTTCCAGTTCTGGGGCTTGAGAAGCTCTTTTCAGATTTTTATTGGTATTCCGTATTCCCCCAGTCTCACATACTCAGAGGTGCCCTCGATGACCAGCCCTTTGTAGATGTGCAGCGCTGCTTCGGTTTTTTCGCCAGGCCCCGACATCCACCATTTCCACCTGAAATGCAGTCCAATGGATTTTTGCGGATTGAGTATCATTTCAGCTAGTGTATCTATATAGATATATCCATAGTGGTTCTGTCCATCGACAGTACCTCAAGGAATTGGTGAAGGGTAAAAGGTACTGATGGTTTTCACTCCAAAACTGTGGTTTCCTGTAGATCTTCCCTATCCAACCAATTCTGGAAGTACCTTCATAATCCTGAAAATACATGCACGTCGATTCCCTTGCTGGAATCCTTTGGTTCCAAGTGAGATCTGAGAGATCTTCATCGGTCTGTTTTTCATGTATGACTTGCTGAAAGCACGAAGACGCCGCCGCGCGGCGGGTATGAAGACCCGACCAAAACGGGTGTAGTGTCACCTCCCGCCTCCCAGTTTCCGTGGTAGGTGGACACCCCGAAAATAGAGGAATCTGTTCATGTGATCCACCCGGATAGGATCCATACCCTCCAAATTAAGGGTTTGGTTCGGGGCCACCGGCGTTCTGCGTTCTCCACGTAGATCATGGAGTTACGGAGTGTATTTTCCCTACGCCCTAAGGATCCGCACCCAGTCCACAAAACAAGCGTTTGGTTCGGGGCCCCAGCCACCCTGGTGAACAGCAGGGTTCGACCCCTTTCCTAATCCGGACTCGGATCCTTAGTGTATGCCGTGAACGAGATGATTCATTTTTTGGCCACGAAACCTGGACAGCAAACACAAAGTGTTCAGGATGGGCGTTCAGGTGGTGCAGGATGTCGACATCTTCAGCAGCCGCTTCCTTCTGTCCTGTTTCGGGATGTCGAACTCGGCGTGTGACATACAAGAGTTTGACAGATGGATGGGGCTTGCTTGGTGCTTCCATGCGCTCCTGAGTAACGAGGTCGGAGAGCAACCAGTGTAGCATATGGATGATTTGTTTATGGCTGAAAGGCCAGAATTCGGGAACATCATGTCTGCGGGACTGTTCGCAAGAAATTATATGTTATGATTATGGTTCATATATAGGTACTTGTAGTGCCTGCACCGTCCTACCTCTAAACTGCAGTAAAAGAGTCGGGGAGTATATATCATTCATGATCCTACAAAGTCTTTTGAATGCGAGCTGGTCTTTGACCACATTTACGGACATGTATTTGACTTGTCCCTCAACAGTTTGTTGGCCGTCAGCATCCCGGAGCAGTACACAACTGGCAGCAAACAAGTTGGAGCAGCCAACAAATCATGGTCGACGCAGAGCGACCATGAACTGAGGACGCCGGCTGTGCGGCGGCAGAAAGAAAAGACATCGGACTTCGGCAGGTGGCAACCCCGCCCAGAAACCGTTGGATCACCCAGACGCGACCTGGAGGGGTCCCTGAACCGAAGGGGTCGGACCTGAATCCGAACTGGGTCAGGGGTCTGGGGTTTCTCACCATTCCCGATCGGTTTGCTTCGGGACCAGGAAAGGGCTGTGAACTCACGGGTGGCGTCTGGGCAGTGAGATCTGTCATCAGTGTCTGTGATATCTGTTTGTGAAGGCGATCGAAGAGGGCAGACCCCAATCACCGGAAACCTCTCGGCCATGGTCCGAAACCGCCAACAACCAAAGGCCCTATAGAAGTCGTGGCCCACCGTTGTTTTAATAGCCTTTACCGAACCACCATTGTTTTACTAAGGGTTTTACACTGCGAGAGTATCCACGGCTCCCCAAAAAAACTCTGGGGACATGGTCTGCACGAAACTCTGCTCAAATCGGAGTCGGACACCTGTTGGGAATGGCGCTATGGCTATTTGGTCTAGAGACAGACTGGGCTCTATGGAGAATGGCTTGTTGGTCTTCAAGCTAGCAGAATCCTGAAGATGACGTAACTCGGGTCGTCGGGGGCGAAGTGTCTGGGGAGAACGGCCATTCTGCGGTCCCGGCGCTAAGAATCCGGGCCCCGAACCAACACAGAGGGTTTGGCTTCGGGAGACCCCTGCGTTTCGGTGTGTCCGACCCCTGCCATAGAGAGCCCGGACTCGGATTGTTAGGGAGTAGTGATTCCAAGTGCTCCACCGTGGCCAGGTTGATCGGGTGCGGACCTCTGGCACAACATGGGATTTTCTGGAACTGCGATGATTTTTTGCCAGACACGACCGCCAGACATGGGACTGCCAGTCCGGACTGCCTTCAAAACGGCCAGGGCTGGTTGACCTGGGGGTCTTGACCTGTGGCGGCAGTCCAGGCAGTCCCAGATGGCGGTCGTGTCTGGGTTCCACATGTTCTTCACCCACACCAACTGCCGGTCCTATATCCGCGTTTCCGAGCCTCGCCGAGCCTCGCTTCGCCGGCCGCGACGACCGGGACCCACGCGCGGCAGCGGGACGTCAGGAGCAGTACCGCACTCACTGGTTCTCGACCGCCTTCTCACTGAACATGGACCTCGACTCCAATTGCTCAGTGACTTGGGCCCATTTGGGGGGACGGTCGGATTGGCGGCCGGCCATCACCCTTAGCTTGGAGGCCATCGCTAGTGGGTTGGAGGCCTTGCTCGATGCCGAGGCGGCAGGAGACAGCCACCGCGGCTTTCGCATGACTCGCCACGGCGCCTGCCGTTCTTCGGGCACCCTTGCCACGTCGGTCTTGGGCCTTGGTGGCGTCTTCTTGTTCTTCGTCCGGTCCAACAGCCAAGCCGGTCGAACGCATTTGGAGTCCGGCATCAAGCAGGTGTTCCGACCAGGCTGGTGGTAGGTCCTGGGTAGAGGAAGAGTTCAGGTTCGTGACAGCTGTGCAACCAAAACAGCTGTGCAACCTTGGTTTCCGGAAAACCGGCGGTTCTGGTGGTTCCACGGGCTCCCGAGCAGAACACGGCTGTTGGAGAGCTCAGTCCGGATCCAAACCCCGGATGCTTAGCCAGTGGTCTGACAGTGAGGGTCCAGGGTTCGGTTTGTCAGAGGGACCAGGGACTGAACCAACCTACCAGGGGCGCTTTGGTCGGCCAGATGCGCTGTCCCCAGGACATCTGGAAGAGATGCCGCCCCTTTTCAGCCATACATGGTAGATGTAGATGTGGATATATGCCAATAGATAGGATGAATTGAGCCATACATTGAGCCATTAGATATCTAACATAGCCAATAGATGCCTATACCAGGGGCCCTCAAAACCATGAAAAACAAAGGTTTTCAGATACAAAAACCCGCTTTTTTTGCTAGAGAAAACCCGGTTTTCGATGGTTTGTGGGCCCCTGGTAGTTAGATGATATGGATATAGATATCGATCGTCTCGCATGCGTTCACCATCCCTGCACATACGTGCACATTCACTGTACCGACCAGTACTGTAAGATGCACAAGAAGTTAATCCAAAGGTTGCCGTCGGCATTTATCAGCCCTGGAGAGTGATGCAATACTAACATCATATGACAACCTGCATGTCCCTTCTAGTCGAACTGAGCGATTCCTCCAACTTCGAACCCATGAAGTGGCGGAAGATTCTTCCAGCGCCGGCCAGCTCACTCTTCTGACTTTCCCTGCTCTCTCTTACTTAAAGCAAGTCCGGGACACCTTGGTGTCAGCAGAGACGCTACTAGGTGGAGCCCATCGCTACTAGTAACTAAGAAGCTATACTATGGAAACAAGGTTCACTACTAGGAACAAGTGCCTCGCTTCGTTCGTAACAAGTGCCTTACTAGTAGTAACAAGAAGCTACTAGGAGCAAGTGCCACGCTAGTAGTAACAAGTGCCTTACTAGTAGTAACAAGAAGCTATTAGAATTTGATTTAATTTTAAACTTAATTTTAATAGCTTTTTGTTACTACTAGTAAGGCACCTGTTACTACTAGCGTGGCACTTGTTCCTAGTAGTAACAAGAAGCTACTAGGGCTCCTGCTACCGAACACGACGGACCTTTCCGGGCTTCCTCTCTCCCTCTCAACGACGCGGCGGCGTTTGCGCCCTGAGGAGATGCGGCAGCACTGCGACCGCGAGGATGCAGGTTGGGTCAGCTGGGGGCTCGGCTGAGGGCGGTTTGAAGGAACTCCAGGACCAACGCAGCAGCAAGAGCAGGGTCACGCGTGACCCGCAGCAGGAAGACCAGGACTCTTCCTGCAGAAGTCCATGACTGGGAGCATCAAGATCTGATTGAAATTGAACACGTTTGCAAGGGTTGGGGTGGTCCAACGTGAATCGAGTTGGATCGTCACCACATGGACCCTGTGGTCCTTTTCACCACTCTCCGATGGGCTCCGGGCCCTCTGCCGATTCAGCTGGGCAGCCCCATCTCCGATTCTGCCTTCGCGCCGCCTTCGCGTTCGCGGCCAGGGCTTTTGCGCTATACTTGTGGCCACACCTGTGGCTGCGCCTATCCATATGGAAATCCTTGGTTTCGAGCGGCTCAGCGGCATGAAATACATTCAGATCCTCCCCACCCATGAGGGTCTTGGATGCTGTGGCAGCGGCTCGCGTGCTTCGTTTGGTTCTGTGGTTTCTGGCTGAGCTATGCCGAGCTATGCCGAGCTCGCTTGCGATTGGTTACACCATGTTAAATCACTTTGAAGCAGGAAACGAAACTCTTCTTTTGGATCCCAAAACAGGCTCACCCCAGTCGACGTTTCGGCTGGCATCCGCCCGCCGTCCGCTTTTCATCTCGGGCATTTGGAGCCTCGGACGAAACACACGATGGCCCCCTAAGGGCCCCCGGTTTGGGGTGGTTAGTGGATACCCCTAGGAGATACCCCGTTACGGGGGCCCAACGGTAGATCTATGACTCAACATTGATTCATTCTATGACTCCAACTTGAAGTTTACAGTACTCATTGTATAATCTCCGCCCCTCCAGAGGAGACTCCTCTCCCCTTTTTCAATCGAAGATGACCCAGGTCACCGACAGTGGCTGCTCCGACGCCTGTAAAGATGCCGCGGAGGACTACGCTGCCACCCAGATTTGCGAGGAGCCCCCGCCTCCACCGCGGTCCTCCGCGTCCTCCGGTCCCGGAGCCGACCGTCTCTCCGCCGCCCTCTCCGGACGGACGGGGGTTGAACGAGGGGCGGGGCGTGCGTCCGCAGGGCAGCGCGTGATGGCATGCGTCCGCAGGGCGACCGCATGCCATACGAGGGTGATCACTCATGAAGCAAAGGATACCGATAGACTTCGCCCATAGAACACACAGATCGTCTTCAATCGGAAAAAAAAACAGCTTCGCCGTGAGGAGTTCTCAATTCTTGCGAAGGATCCTGCACCTTTCGATGGCTTCTGGCCTTTTGCCTCCCTTTGTCTCTCTTTGTCTCCGAAAAGGCTCTTGATGCTGGGCTTTTTCTATGCTTGGCCTCCCTTGGTCTCCGGCAAAGCAACAAGATGCCCACAAAGAGACTTCGGCCAAAGACCACATCGAGCCGGTGTGGGCTCCGAACCTCCCGGGGAGGTGTAGTTTTGCAGTGACTGCACGGTGATTGGGTTTCCCCTGGCGCAGGGTCGGAGGTTTAGCAAAAACCAGGCCTTTTCAGGTTTTGTTGCATTTGGGCTCTGTTCTTTTCGATCGGTTACACGGAAGGGGAAGGACACTGCGCAAACGGGCGCACCTGTGCCCCCCTTTGCCACAGGAATGACCCACCACGGTTTTCGGGTGTTCGCTTTTGGTCTTGACCACAGAGGCGCAGCGCAAGCACGGCCCACTGACACGAGATGAACCTGAGATATGCAGCACCGGATTTTTACGTGGGGTATTATTCATTGACTCAGTCAGCTGCAGGATCTCTTCCTTCAAGTCGTCAAGCCAAGGGTTTCAGTTTTTGATACATTGCGCATGGTATTCTTGTCCAACAACTTCAACACTAAACGACCTGAGCCCTTCGCTGTCCACCTTCGTCTTCGCGCGCGCGTTTCTTTTTCAGGACCAAAACGTGACCTCTCAGCCGCTTCAGGATGTTTGGATGATGCTTGGGCTGAAAAGCTGACTTGGATGTGTTTTGCATAGGCGTCTCCCTGGACGTTCCAAGGAGTCAAGGGGGTCTCCCTTTTTTTTCACTCACCGGAAGAACCAGGAGGGCGCCGTCTCCCATCCCGCACCGTGGGGCACGGACTTTTGGACCGCCTGGAGCGCTGTCTGACCGAAAAGCCTAGTGGCTATCTGCTAGCTATACCCGGCTGAAGTCCAGGAACCGACGATATTTTGACCAACTGAAGTAAAGCTTATTCCTGAACTCGTGTCACCTAGTCAGACCATTCTTTTGATAGTCTGACCGACTCCCAGGGTATATCTATCCTATATCTATACTTTTTGGGTCCAGTAATCCATCCATAACGGTCCAAGAACTGATGGAACTGCCGGCAGCGATGACCATTTTCAGATGGGTCGCATTCTGGGTCTCTACCAAAGTGGTTTGTTTTCTTGGGGAACTGAAGTCACTTCAAAAAAGAATATAGACACTATCAAACATGCGCTGGCTATCAATATTGGTGAACATCAACTCTTTTCAATGACAAGGGCCTTTGTGGTGGACCGATTCAGTGGGTCAGCTTGGTCTCCCGGAGTCCAAAGCGGGACGTCACTTCAGGCACCACCTGTACCCAAGGTGTGGCAGGTGGCTTCATAGATGGTAGGTAGGACAGTAATCATAATTATGTAAGCAGCATGTGTCAAAGGTTACACATTCTTTATAGTGGGGGGGCAATATATAAAGCAACAAACATACAAATTTATATAATATGTACACACACACACAGCACGCAGACACACACACACGCGCTTTTGCTAGCCCCATCTGTGGTTAGGCTGGTTCAAGTGTGTATTTTTTCTTCTCTTTGAAACCACAAAACATCACCAGCAATTCTTGCAAAACATACGATTTCTCTTTTCCTCGGAGAACGAGGACCTTCTGGTGGTACTACTTGTTCATGATTACTTACGGCGTTGGGCCTCTCGTCGGCAGAGCTCCGCTTTCTCGCCTGGCGCGTGGGCGTTTGCGTAACCAATCGCCGGCTGCTGGGAGGAGCCTCCCCCCCAAAAGAGGACGTCCTCAAGAGGAGGCGACGTAACAAAGCACTTTTAGCACTGGCTTTGCAGAGGACCATGGTGTGTGTGTTTTTTTTTTTCATTTTTTAAATGTTGTTTTTGAGATCTTCCTTAAGGGTCCAGGCTGGTCCGGTACCTCCTCAGGATGTTCTTTGGCTCCAATTCGACCTTTCTCTGGAAGTACGCACTCACCTCCAAAACCATCGTCCGGAGGTACCCTGTGGGCTCAAAATGACCACGGTCAATGAGCTGCTGGCGCTTCGCTGAGGCTTGCTCATCCAAATGACTTAGCCAACAACAACCAGTATGCGGATCTCTACTGGCGCTCCTTGAACATGACGGAGCTCGGTTGTGCAGGACGACGTATTCTCACGCCACACTCGATGAGAGCGAGCGAGAGAGAGAGAGAGAGAGATATCGAGAGATCAAGGCTTGAGGGCCGGAGGCAGAGCAGGTAGGAGCTCTACACCAGAGGCAAAGCGAAGCCAAAAAGCGGAGGTAGCCTGTTTTGGGCGCAGAATTGGATGGGGCAAAGCCGTGGCGCTACCTCCGCTTTTTGGCTTCGCTTTGCCTCTGGTGTAGAGCTCCTACCTGCTCTGCCTCCGGCGCCTCAAGCTTTCTTTATCGGGCTTCGAAGCTGCTGTTAGGCACCGTGTCCGCGCTGTTTTGGGCGCAGAACTAGATGAGGCAAAGCATGGAAGAGCCGCGGGCCGTACGCTTGTTGCAGGCTTGCGACGCTCTCAACCGACCTCAGTAGGTTGCAGTACTCGCACCGCCGTCCTCAAGTCGCCTGGAAGTCGCCTGCGATGAACTTGGCCAAGTCTGCGGGTGGAAGCACCTGGTCAAAGCCACGTCTTCCGGTCGTCGGAGTTCGGAGAAGGCACTCCCCACGACGCGCCGACGCTGGTGGTGAACGGTCAACATGCCGTTGGTCAAAGAGCCGCACGGCCAGTTGAGACACAGTTGGGTGGATCAGCATCCCCACGATCAGTGAGTGAGAGTAGTTATCTCTTGTTTTTTTTTTATTTAAAGAGACGTTAAAAAGGATTTAATAGCCATGGTCTCCAACCGAATAGCGATGGCCTCCAACCTCATAGCTACATATTCACTTTTTCACATGCATGGTATAGTTCACAAGCTGCTCTCTAGTTTCTACACTCACTAGGGTCTCAAGACCTGATGAACACTGAACTTCTTCCTGGATGGTCCAAAATCAAACACCTCAACATCAAACTCTTCAGCTTCCCCTGGGCTTCGTTTGCTTTCCTTTTGGGGAGGAAGATTTCCGCCTCCAACCGAAGAGCAGAGCGATGGCCTCCAACCCCAAACCCTGCTGCCCCTCCCGGCAGGATTCTTGAGAGTTGGCTGGGGCGAGGATCCGTTTCTTCAATCCGCCTTCTGCGAAGGCCGGGTCCTCCCCGTCGCATCTCCCAGGGCCACCGAGACCCACATGATTGACACAGACACGCCCTGGGCCACCGAGACCTAGTAGTGGAACCTGAAAACCACGTCGGGTTGTAGAGGACAGTATCGAGCTTAAAGCATTCAAACATGTACAAAACTGTTCACAAGCCATTCAAACTACAAAAACTACAAAGACTTCTGTTCACAAAGCTCCAAAACATTGTACATTCTGCGAGCTATGCCCTCCAAAGCTCTCCAAAACGCATCCACACACACAAAGTTCCGTAGGGAACACTTACACTTGCCCAAACACTTGAAATGCAAAACCATGCACTCCAAAAGCAAAAACTGTGAAAGTTCAGGAGTGAGCAGTATGGCTCCCTACATGTAGCTCTGTATAGTGATTTGAATTTGATTTGCTCTAGGAGTGGTGCCTCTTTGTGTTTTGGGTTCCTTCTTGCTGTTTGGTTTTGGGAGAGTCTCAACCAGAGTGGTCTTGGTAGACTTCTTAGGTGGTTCCTGTACTTAGAAGAGCTTCCTTAGGCTCATGGACCCTCAAACTAGCTACATGTTTGAGGGTTGTGAGGGTCAAAGCCCTAGCTATGAGGGTCCAATGAGCCTTTGGGCATGTTCCATGTTAATCTTCCCGACTGTATCTCCTCCCTGCCTCCCAACGCGGGTTTGGAGCGCGGCTCACACATTCGTGTTCGTTTTGGGGGACCTTCCACCCACCAAAACATCAACATGTTGCAGTGAACCCCCAATACATCGCATGCCTCGGATTGCAGCCCGACTCCCTCCAAGCCGGGATGGCGGACCTAAATGCAGTGCGTCCGCGGGTCGCCCGGCGTGGACGCCGAAGACGCCGAGAAGTGTGGAGAAGACCGGGAGGGATCGGATGGCCCACCCCCACGAAGGTGAGGAGCAGTGGGTAACCCCCAAAAACCTCAGGACAGTGAGTCAAAGCTCCGAAGCCAACACTTGAGACCCAGAGTGTAGCTACTTGCTTTGCTGAAGGGAAACGGGCGTCCAAGGAGTCCTGGTGGGTGTTGAGATCCACATGTTCTTGATTCTCCGTTGAACAGACAGGTCCGATGCTTTCGGGATTGCGTTCATTGGTGGTCCGCGGACCAGGGCTGAACGCACAAGCTGTCGACAGCTAAGCCGACGTGAAGACCGACGTAAAGATACAGATGCAAGCGAAACTGACCGATGAGGAGTTCTCTATGCCAGACTAAGTTTGTAAATCCTCTGCAGACCCAATATGGATTGTGACATTGCGGAACGGGCTAGTGGCTAGTTCTTCAAGCTTACCGCCGCAGCACTTCTTGGTGTTTCTGATTTTTCCTCGTTCATGTTGGTTTAGCGTCTGCTGTGTGGTTACAACCACCAAGGGACTCGCCTGACTGGCATCGACCTAATTAGTGTTTCAACAGACACGTCCCAGGGGTCTTTCCAGTTGAACTAAACTTCTTTCTTGGCGACTTCAGCGAGCCCCTTGAGACCAACTGAGTGGTCGACGGTCCCACCAACTGCCCGCAGCACCCACTTCAGGACCGTCTTGCTGGACCAAAGTACCCTCCTCAAATGGCACATGACCTGAGGAAAACAGGTACTCCAGCAGTCACATTAAAGGGTGCGAGCTGAATGGAGGTGGCTGGGGTGCCCCTGTCACATCCACAGCCCCTGGATGGGACGAGCCACACCACCCTGGCCTCCATGTGACTGGCTTGCACTCCTTGGACTAGACTTCGCCTGATCGCGGCCCGCGACCGACCCCACCGCGATCGGTCGCGGCCACAGGCAGTTATGTCTACCGTCCCTTAGCCCTGCTTTGCCCCGTCAGCTGTGGCTGTACCGTTTCGGCCCCTCGGCTGAGACGGAGGCGCGGGAGACGGAGGCAGAAGCAGGGGTTCGGAAGCAGAAGCCAAAGAATCTCTACCACGGAGTTCGGGAGGTTCTTGGATGGCCAAGACATAGGACCAAAATCGGATGAACAGGGGTGTCCATGGTCGCCACCCGATCCGCGGCGAGGACGCCTTTGCGTGGTTTTGCCGCGTTGACGATCCGCGACGCGTCGTTCTGTGCTTCGTGACTTATGGACGTGGTCGAACGTCTCGGACGAGTCGTTTCGTCTCTGCTTGGAGGTCACCAAGGCGCTCCTCTCTCCCTAAGGATCCGGTCGTCCGGACCCTCCCTTAGGGGTCGGGGGCGTGGGCCCTGCTGTTCACAGAGGGTGCCTGGGGCCCCGAACCAAGCGCTTGTTTTGTGGACAGATTGCGGATCCTTAGGGCTGAAAAGTGAGTGACTCGAAGCACTGGAGGCGACCAGAAGCCAAGGTTCGGCTGTTGGGACCCGACCTCTTCGGCTTTGCCGAGGACCCGATGCCCTCGTACTGCCCCCGGAGCTGCAAGGCGAGAGACTCCGCGACCGCTCGCCCGCTCCGACGCGACGGTGGTCGCTGGTGGTTCGGGGTCCGGGACGCTCTTGTGGAAGAAGGTGCCGTTTTTGGAGGTCTCTTCTGAGTGAAGGTGATTTTGAGCATGAAGGTCTCACCTAAAAGAGCCCAAAATCACCTTCACTCAGAAGAGATGTCTTATTTTCCTCCTGAGTGAAGGTCTCTTCTGGACGTGCTGTGGGTGGAACCACTGGAAGACCGTTTCTGACACCGGTCGCGCGACCCTGGGGGATGGCTCATTGAGTAGGAAAAAGGCGTGATCTGTCGGCGATGCGTGGTGGACCCTTAATGGGTCCGTACTTTTTTGTTGTTTGGGAGACAACCGATCGCCCAATGGGTTTGGATGGTTTTGGTCTATTTTCCAAAACTTCCACGAGAGTGTTGCTTGGGGCTAGCTAGGCCTCCCTACCAGGGGCCCTCAAAACCATGAAAAACAAAGGTTTTCAGATACAAAAACAAGTTTTTTTGCTAGAGAAAACCAGGTTTTTGATGGTTTGTGGGGCGCCTGGTGTATTTTAACACACACCCTAATGTAAGATGAAACGATAAACCAAGCTTCCAACCGACACTGACCATCATAGCTGAGAATGCTCCTCACTTCCGACGTGAAGGGGAACATGTATATTACTGGGGGGTATCTCCTCGGTCAAAATTGAGGTTTGGATTGCCATTCTGGAAACGGTTTTTCCATCTGCCAAGCCAGGTCCACCGGCTTTATTTCAATCCCAGACACTCCATGGGACTGCCAGTCCGGACTGCCTTCAAAACGGCCAGGTGGTGCCACGGGGGACCGTCGGCAGTCCGGACTGGCAGTCCTGGAAAAAGCGGTCGCGTCTGGGAATCCTTTTACCCTAAGAATCCGGGCCCGAACCAACACAATAGGGTTTGGTTCGGGCCCAGACCCCTGCCATGGAGGGTCCGACCCCTGCCATAGAGAGCCCGTAAGGATTGTTAGGGCATGCTCCAAATCTACCAGCCAACCCCCCAAACTCCGCCGGACTCTTTCCCGGTTCACCCGCCGGACCGTCAGGGCTGCGCTGATGGGGAGGACCGCCGTGCACCGGCATGGGTGGACGAAGCGGACTCGGTGACGGAGCTGCTAAGCCTAGCGAAAACAAAAAGAAAGCAAAAAGAGCACACACACCGCATCTTTTCTGCCACACACTTGAGCCACCAGTAGGCTTCCTGGCCCACCATGAATTTAATAAGCTGAATCCCGAATCAACGAAGGAGTTTTACAAACACCAGGTCAACACCAGGTCTTGGAAGTCTAGGGGCACCTAATTGAGCGTGTTTTAGTGACGAAACCTGGACATGATCGTTTTGATCTCCCAACACAGGATGGCTTCTGCGAAGGACGCGGCGAAAAGCACCACGACGAGTGAACCGTTTTGTTTTCGAGAAGTCTGGTTTTCAGAGTCGGGCCAATCTGAGGCTGAGAACGACTCCTAGCTTTTGTGCACGTTGGAGAGACCCAGGTCTAGTCATGGCCCGTGATCCAAAATCCCCTGGGGTCAGAGACTCCCTCGCAACCTCACCTCCAACGGCGAGAGTCCACGTCGGCCCATCGCTCCCCATGGTGCATCGGCGGCGCCGGTCTCTCCGTCCTTCCCACCGAAAACGTGGCGGTGGACGGTGAGGAGTTCCCGCCGCAGGGGCAGGTCACCAACTGTGCGCAAGCGGCAGCTGTCGGACTGCCACTGGGCGGAGGTGGCAGGTCTGCGGGGTTATGGGTGGATGCTCCAGCCAGCATGGCTTTTCTTCGAGCACGGTCCGAAGCCTCGATCTCGGCCAGAAAATTCAGACGTGTCGATTTGATGTATGGCATATAATATACCGAGACAGGGCCAGGGGTGGTGGATTTCAGGGTCAATGGATGTCTGATGTTACCCTAAGGATCCTTGGACCCTCCATGGCAAGGGGTCGAACCCTAGTTCACAAGGGTTTGGGGCCCCGAACCAAACCCTGGTTTTGTTTCGGGTGCGGATCCTGGATGTCAATATGCCAGTCCCATGGTGGTTCACACCTTGGTCTGTGTGACGGCCAGACGGCCTGGAACCAAGAAACCAGGACGGCCCACATGGCTGACCAACATCCGGACAGAGAAATGGGCGCCAGTTTGGGAGGGGGTCAGAGAAATGGATTTTGGTTCCTCCCTGAAACCATCCGGAAGTGGACGGGTGGCGCCCGGAAGTGGCCCAGAAGTGCTCGAGTTCACCTTCCGGAAGTCCAGACATTCGGCCGTGGAGTTTGTTGACATTGGGGCTCCTGAAAACGTCTCCATGTCCTTGGGTTTCACTTTCACTTTCACCACAGTGGCCTTGTTGACAGGTGAGTAAGCAAAAGAGCAGTGTCTCTCTGAGGTCCTTGGGTTTACTCATGAAGTAAAAGGCGATCAGAAGCTTGTGGAGCATGCCGAAGACTCGCTTGCGGTTTACTCCAAACACCTCGACGCCCACCCGTCTCGATCTCAAGATGCCTTGGCGCAGCGATCAGCTGGCTGTATGGAGCGGTAGAAGCTGATCAACACCAGCTCCACTCGTAGGTAGGTAGGTAGGCAGCGCAGCTATGGTTTGTGCGAGCGCAGCGCAGAAGATCTGGGAGTAGCGCTGCGCCAACTTAATCCCCATCAGCGTTCTTTGTCTTCGAACCTGAGTGACCTATTTTGGACCACCAACCACCCAGTTTACAGGGTCTTTTCCTGTCAGAGTGGGGGTCCAATGGGTAGGGTGGCAGTAACAGTGAAAGGAGTGTCACTCTCTTGCTGGAAAGGTCTTTGCTCACCATCATCCACTGTTACCTCCATTCTTCTGTTCATGAGATCTCTTTGCCAAGTTCACATTGGATTACTCCAAACCAACCGACACCGCACGCCCCGGTTCCACACGCGCCAAAACAGACAGACCCGGTTCCACCCACGCGCGCAAAAAACGTGTGGAGCGCGCCGGTGCGCTCCTCCACGTGTGGAGCGCGCCTATCCCGGTCACACCTTCGAGGTGCGAAGCTTATCCCGCGGAGGCCTTGCAACTGTGTGCGGAGACCTGCGACTTATGCCACTTGCTCCTTGGCTGCGCGAGGGCAGGACCCAGACACGACCCGTTTGGGAGTGACAGATTGACCTAGATGGGCTCCTTTTTGACCACCCCACCTGATCGGCAGATATATACCATACATGGAGTGTTTCGGCAGACAATATGTGTGCCTACCAGGGGCCCTCAAAACCATGAAAAAACAAAGGTTTTCAGATACAAACATCAGGTTTTTTTGCTAGAGAAAACCAAGGTTTTTGATGGTTTATAGGTGATCCCCGTGCCTAACGGGTGCGTATTCTATAGGGAGATCCCCGAAATCTCGCCCCGGTTCGATTCGCGCGTATCGAACCGGATCGATTCTTCCCCAAAGGTCGGGACACCGAACGAACGAACCACGATGTGGCTGTGAGTCAGGACCTTCCAAACCGAAGTTGACATTCCCTTGTAAAGGTATTTGGTTCACCCACCACGCCGATCTGGGCTTATTGCGCTTAAGCTGTTGGGGATATTCTTTGGGCTTATTGGTTCACTTGCCCCGCCTGGGTTTGGACCCACCAAAAGATGCTTGTTTTGGACCCAACGGCATCTGGATGCAGTTCCTGCATGACTCTGTGTTGGATTTCTTCCATCCGCAGCGTGGATGGACGGACGGACGGATGGATGGAGTTCAAGGCCATGCCACGTGAACATGGGTTTCTTCCAACAAATCCGCACCAAAAAGCAGGGCGCTCTGGGCAGAGACCCCCAACAACCATCCAAAAGCACTCGAACCCACCGTGGAAACACCACGGATCGCCGATCCTGTGGGTTCCTCTCTCCCTCTCCCTCCTTCGACGCTGCTCAGGTTGCCGGGCGGCGCACGGCGCCTGGACTCGTCGCGGATTGCGGCGGTGCTGCAGGAGCTGGACGCGAGGGCGAGGCACGGTGGATCGGGATTCTTGGGAACCTGGACAACAGAGGTCAAGCTGTAATACCACCCGGATAGGATCCGCACCCGGTCCACAAAAGAAGGGTTTGGTTCGGGGCCTCAAACATGTACAAACCCTTGTGAGCAGCAGGGTTCGACCCCGACCCTAAGGAGGGTCCAAGGATCCTTAGGGCACCACCAAGTTATTTTATATAATTTTCGTTCATTTTCGTGCGTTTGGGCGAATGGGTAGTTCGCATGAATCATGTTACAGTTTATAACTATTACATTCTTTTTACTGAAGCATACACTTTAAACCAGGGAGATGCCGCAACACCTTCACAGACCCATTTGGAGGCGCAGACTCGTTGTTTTCAGATGGGGAAAACCGCACTCACTCCATGAACCAGGTACTCCAAAGTGGTCACGAAGTGAAGGTCCTGGAGGTCTCAAAGAGGTCCTGAACACGCCAAGAGTATGGAAGAAGACACAGCACCAGTTGGACACAATCAAACAATCAAGATCTTGCCAATTTGCGTCTACGAAAAGCACCGTACGAAATGTCTGAAGAGTTTCCAAGTTCCCAGTGTTGGTAAGCGGGCGCAAACACTCACCGTTGCCGGGCTCACAAAGTCCCGGACCAAATCCCTTCCACAAGTGGCCGCCACTCAGCAGCCTTTTCCAGTGGCCATCGGCTCGGTGCGAATCGCGTCCCACCGCTGGTTTTGAGTCGGCGGATGCGAATGGATCATGATCAAGTGCTCTCAACCCGAATGTGTGGCACACATTTCACACGGGTGGAAAGCCAGTTCAAGAAAATTAAAGAAAATCATGCATTTCAAACACTTCTATGCTACCATGGGGTGTCGGACGACGTTGCCCTTCCAGTCAGATCGCCATGCGTGTACTCCGACCAATGAGTGCTCTCCAATGTGGCTTGTGAGGTAGAGGACTCAAAGAAGGTATGGGAGCATGCCTTACATGGTTGTCGCTCATAGACCAGATTTGCGGTGCGCCCAGCGACGCACTTCCGACTTGCATGCCAGCATCCACCCATGGCTGCCATGAAAATTGGCTTCATAGAGGCGTTCTGTTTTGCCACCTTCATCCGTTGCTGGACTGTTGACTCCAGCTCTTCCTTCAGCTTGTCATTCTCCCGCTGCAAGATTTGTACTTGTCGGCGGTATTCTTGGAAGTTGCCTTGCGTAAGGGCCCACTCATCACGAAGGTGGGAGACTTCATCTTGAAGTTTAGTCTTGTCTTTCCGAAGCTCCACAAGGCGGTGTTCCTCCATGCCAGTCCGATTCGTCTGGGCTGAGCTCTCTCTGGTGCTCTTCAGAGTCGGGCTTGTTGAATTCCTGCTGGTGGTGAACTTGTCAAAGCATTTCGCAACCAACCACATAATGATGCCGAAGGTCATGGTGAAGAGGATCATCAAGAGGTAGTCAAACAGTTCATTTTCCTCATGGATGTGGTTCTTCTTCATAGTGCCATTCTCACCCTCCTCAATCACTTGGGCGTTGGTCACGTCCATGAAGAAGTTGGCAAACATTGCATACAATGCTCTTTCCGGTCTTTTGATGGCGTACATGTTCTCGCCTTTCTTTCGGCTTGCAACGTTCTTCTTCTTGGAAGCCTGGAAAGTCTCGTCACTCTTGAGCTTGGTCATGTGGGACCGCAATCTCTGTCCCAACAGGGGTGCTGCTGCATCTTTTGTCAGGCCATCTGCATATTGAAGTTCTGATGACACCCACATCACTTTTCCATTGCAACATGCCAGTTTGTCTCGGCAAACAAGTGCTTCTATTGTTGTCCGTTTGTCTGCTCCTGTAGCCGCCTGAATCTCTTCCTTCACCAGGATGTCATAGAGGGCCTTGGCGTCCACGATCAACTTTGGACTGTTCGGAAGGTGACCTGTCTCTATGTTGTCCAAAGGAAGGAGTGCTCTGAAAATCATGTTCCAGAAGAGTGAGGTGTACATCAGGCTATCGGCTGCTTCACTTGCTGCTTGAGATTCTGCTGACAAAGTGCTTCTGGCGACACGGGGCAATTTCCAGCTGCGCCAATCGAGAATGTTGTAATGCCCTTCACATCTTCCATCTGCGACATCACGGTGGCACATAGCTAGTAGGTAGCCTCCTTGACTGCTCAGGTCTGATCTTGTTGCGAAAGAGGCGTCGCTGTAGACGACAAATGTCATCTCGCTCTTTCTCCCAAGCGACGATACTGCAGTCCAACATCGGCATACTCCTTTGCATATCGGAGTTGTTTGTTCCCCTTCTGCAATGTTGCCACTGTCGCTTTGGAGGTCTCTCCAGCCAGCTGGGAAATTCCCACCTGCAAGTGTGGTGAGCTCTGGGTTGCCGGCCATTGAAGGCCACCAATGAGTCCCCGTAGTAGAGATCTTTCCTTCTCTGTCACCAAGTCATCGAGGTTCTGGAGACGCTCTTTGGTGATCGGAATAGGCTTGACCTTGTGGATGTATTCCTCTTGGCTCAATTTGATCACCTCAGCACGCTGGCAATCGATCTGACTGCCGCAATACTCAAGCTTGTCTCCGTCTTGCCACTCTCTGAAGGTAAAGACTCCCTGCAGTTTCTTCTTGGTCTCTGTGAAGACAGGGTCGTTTGGGTCTCCACAACCAACCAAATCATCAACGTGGATGCCAAAGATGCAGGAGAGCTCCCGTTCCACCGTAGGATCAAGTGGGGTTCCTTCAGGCAATGGTTTGTAGACCATAAAGAGGCATGGGTCAAGTGGATGCCGTAGGATGTCTCCAGCTCCAACCTTGAGGATGCGTTCAGAGGCCTCCTCATACCATGCCCTTGGTGCATCGCACAGTCCGTACATCGGCTTGACCAGCTTCATCAATTGTGGTGCATCTGCTTCAAGACCAAGTAGCATTTTGGCATCCTTTGGAAGTTTGATCCAAATCACTCGATCAGACCCTTCTGCAAAGTTCTTTCCTTGAAGAAAGGCTGTGGTAATGTCTGAAGTGAACATCTTCCAGGAGTAGAGTTGGCAAATGCTCAGGATCATCCCTCGGGCCAGTCGTGTCAACGTAGGAGCATTCGTCGTCAAGGCTCCTGACAAGGCATCAGGATCTTTGAATCCTTGGGTGATGAGTCGTGCCTTTGCCCTTGGAGTGCCATCTTCATTCTTCTTCCACGTCAGGATGAAGTGTGCCTTCAAAATCCTTGTCGGGTCTGCATTGTTTTCATGATCATAGATCCAGACCTCATTCTTGAAGAAACTTTCCAGCTCCTTGATTTTTGCTTTCATGAAGGCTTGTCTGTCGGCCACGGACATGTAGCGCTCGTAGACTTCATCTTTTCCTTTCTTCTTCCTGGTCATGGGCTGGTCAGATGTGGACCTCATCGATTTGTACCCACCACTGGCTTTCTTATAGTCTTCTTGAGCCTTGGTCCGCCAGTTTGGTTTCAGCTTAAACTTGGTCTGTCCAGTCCAGAAGGCCTCCTCAATGAGATGGTTGGTGCTCTGACGTTTCCATCTGTCCTTGAAGGTTCCATGGGTTGTTGATGTCACTCTGTCTTTCGCCAGGTAATTGAGGTCGATGGGGCAATCATTTTCTGTGGGCTTGTATGCCGTCTTCCGGGGCACATAGTGATTCCGGATAAGCCAGTTCCCTTCAAGCGTCCATTCGTCAGTAGGGGCATCCAAGCAAAGCCAACCATCTTCAACGTGCCAACCCGGTGGCAGATCAGTGACTTTCTCAACGTCAATGTCAATCTGAATGTTGAGGTCTTCTTGGGCTGGGTGATCATAAGGAGTTGTCCAAGCTGACTCTGATCTGATGGGTCCATAAGCCATTGGCTTGCGAAGAAATGACAATGTTTCTTGCTTGTCCACTCTGGCCCTTTGTGCCTGGAAATCCTCCGATGGTTGTGGTTCATAGAGTTGTCTCTGATGTTCTGGTACTTGAGCAGGTGGAGCCTCAGTGACTTCAGGACTGTCTGCCATCTGATGAGATGAAGTTCCTCCAGCACCCGTTGACGCATCTCCTGCTTGTTGTCCGGTACCTCCGTTGTTGGTCTGTGGTGGTGCGTCATTCGTCGGTGGTGGTTCATCATGTGGTTCATCAGGATCGGTGGGTGCTTCAGGCTCACCAAGAATTTCAACAAGTACGTCAGAATCATCATCTTTCTGATCCTCAACCACAAAGGTTGTAGTTCCTGTCCACGTGTAGTGCAGGGATCTTGAGGCATCCATTACTCGCCAGTCATCACGAAGTCTGACTCTGGGAGGATGTGGTGGTTGCCTTCTCACTGTTGTGAGGCGATCACTGCTGAACCTGTCAAGTGGTACTCCTGTCCCATTTTCTGGCACGTAGAGTTCTCTCCTGGGGACATTGTGTATTCTTGTCCATGTCTTTTGGTCTGCTGATACTTCCCAGCTATCGACAAGGCCCGGGTGTTCATCATCGCCATCTGGAAGGTCCTCGTCATCAAATTCTTCATCTTCTTCGCCACTTGAGACCTCATGTCGCTGCCTCTTGTTGGTCCTTGTCAAATCTGTGTAGAGGGTTGTTCCCCTGCTTCGAACTCCTTGAAGTGCTTGCTGTGCTCTGTAGAAAGGGTCATCATCTGTCGCTTTTGGCATCTCTTGTTCTGGCACAGGTCGCAGATGCTCAGGAGCTGCTCTCAACAGGTTTGTTCCATGAACCAGCCAGTAGATCGTAGTGTGTGGGCCACTGTCCAATTGCTCCACCATCACCACACGGGCAGGTCCTCGCCATCTCAGCTTAGGGCCGATTCCTCCAGGCCCGTCTCTGTAGTAGTAGCACAAGTCCCCGAGCTGGAAGACGGTCAGCTGGCCTGTAAATTTCCTGTTGAGGGCTCGTCGAAGGCGAATGTCCACATCTGCTGAGAAGACTGCATTGGCTGCTCTCTTCTGTCGTTGTAGTTTCTGAAGGAACTCATCAGAAGGATCCAAACTTGGCAGCTCTAGCGGTTCTTCAGTCAGAAGTCCTGGGACATGGGGAGTATAACCCAGAACCCACTGGACTGGGCTATATCCTCGAACGTTCGTCCCTCGATTGATCTGAGGGATGACGTAGCAGAGGGCTTGGATCAGCCGTTCTCTGGGCTCATGGGGCTGTAGCACATCTCCTTGTTCTTGGTCGGCCACATACAGCTCGATTGCTCGCCTTGTGACTTGATGGCGGCGTTCCAAAATGGCCAAGCGTGTGTGGCTTTGTCCAGGAGAGATCTGCAGTTGAATCCCATTCTCTGAGCACCAAGACTTGACATATTCAGATGCCCAACTTCGATGATCATCCACCTGCAGAATCTTCATTGGGCCAAAAGTGCGAATCCAACCACGCTCCAGAGCCAAAACGAACTCCTCAGGAGATTCTCTCAGTAGAACACGGCCACCCAAGAAACGAGTCGCAGCATCACTGATCATCATCACAGGTAGTGCGCGCTTGGCAGGAGGCATCTTGATCCACAGGGTATCTGACTGCACCCTCGTATTGAACTCTTGGGCATTTGGCACCGATGACACAGGTACCTGAGGCCTTTGCTGGTGCTGAGCACACACAGCGCAATCATGAGTCTTGGCGTGCTTGATGAGGTTCTCATGTGCTCCCTTTATAGTGAGCAACCTGCAGAGTTCAGCGTTTGTGGGATGTCCCAGATTTCGATGGAGTCTGCTTATCGTCCTTTTGGCCTGCTGACTGTCGGCGATCTGGAGACGTTGAAGCACACCAGATTGCAGTTGATCTCTTCCTCGAGGACCATCTGAGGATGGATTATTTCCCCGAGGTGTAGTCTGGGCAGAGTGTTGATTGGGCTCATCTTCACGATGGTGATCTGCAATCGTTGGGGTGTACTCTTCATCGTCAATCTCGCCTCCTTCCATAGCCAGCTCCTCAGGCTCGTAGTACAAAAGGTCGATTGCCTCTCCAATCCAGTAGCAGAACGTCTGCTGATAGGCCCCTGCAGCCTTAGTCAGAGAACCCACGCCTGGCAGGGATCCTTCCAGTTGAAGATGGGTGTGATCCCCAGGGCACCTCCAGCCCAGCATGTCGACCATTGATGCGCTCGTCAGCTGCAGTCTGGTGGGCTTCTTGATGTACTCACCAGCGATCTTGGTCTCGTAGGCGCACTGGTCTAGTCGACAAGGCCAGCCAGGTAGATTGCTCCATGTCTGAGTTTCCCAGGCTTTTGACCATGCCGGGTGTTCAATTCCGGCGTCTCTCCCTTCGTTGTACTGGATGACATAGGTTCGCTCAGCCACCTTGAGGTGCACAGCTTCCTCATAGTCACGCTCACATTGCAAAGCAAAGGTCTGCTCAGGTGTGAGCATGTTCAGGGCCTGCATCTTGGACCATTTCTTGCACGCTGGGGCAATCCAGACAAAGTCGGGGGCAATGTCCTCCAAGAGCTTGTAGTAGGAGTTCCGGTGCTCCGGAAAGTCAAAGTCCCAGCCAGTGTTGAGGTCAAAGCTGAAGACAGTGTAGCCCCGCCGTTGCATCTCCATGGAGAGGCCTGCTTCACCAGAGTAGACTTCCCAGAAGACTTTGGCCCCTTGTTCATGAGCCCTGAGCCCTTGTTCAAGCACCGTGCGGCGATGAGCGAACATCGTGGCATGGTGGACACGGATACGTCTAAGTAGTTTGTCCGTGATCTCCTTCTTCACTGCTGCCGTCTCTTCTTCATCTGGGAGAGCCACAGGCCGCTCTTCCGCAACTTCAGCGTCGGTCGCATTGTCCTCATCTGCTTGAAGGCAGTGCTCAGGAGGCTCTCTGCCTGTTGCTTCCAAATACTGCAGCAAGGTGTAGGTCGAGGAGTGCATCACTCCAGTTCTTTGCACCATCTCATAGGTCTCAGTGGTGACCAGGTCGAAGAAGACGCTCTCCCCTTTTGGATCTGTCTCCACTCCGTCATCGAGACGAAGAAGGTACTCTCCTCGTTCTCCCTTGACAGCTGGCAGCCAATCTGCGTCCCCATACTTGATGAGGTCCTAATCCCAGTCCACCTTCACCTTGAGGGCCTTCAGGATTGGTCTTCCCACCAAGAGCGGTGTTGATCCACCAACCAGGAAACACTCAATGAGGCCTGAGGCACCGTTGACGTACACCGGCAAGCGAACAGTCCATTCAGCCTTGCGCATGCCATCACCTCCAAAACCAAAGAGCTTGGTGGTAGGGTGGAAAGTATACCGCTCCAAGGGCACCCCTTTTCCATACATGTACTCGATGATGTTCATCAAGGTCTCGTGGCCACATACCATGCTGCTTGCGCCTCCATCTTGAAGACCAAACCATCCTCGATCAGACAGCATTGGCGTCCCTTGCTGGTTGAGGTCGTGCATCATGAAGGCATGGCCAGAGCTCTTCGGAGAAGCATCTGTCTTGGCTCGCTTGGGTGATGATGTCCCTTTATTCATGGGGCAATCTGCAGCAGCATGTCCAAAACGTCCGCACTTGAAGCACTGCATCGAGTCAAGGGCTGTTCTGCCTCGTTGGAGGGCGTTCCCCTTCTGAGGTGGGGACTTGCCTTTGCCTTTTCCTTTCTTCCCCTTTCCACCTTTGCTAACGGGTCTCTGTGTGGAGGTAGATGAACTTGGAGTGCCTTGTAGGTCTGCAGGACTTGTCAATGCCACTACCGGATAGTAGCCTCGAGCAGCCTTGAGGTTGGCGAATTGTCTCCTGGCGTCCAAATACGTGGCGTAGGCCTCCTCCAGCTGTGGGTCAGGATCTTCCACCCATGGCTCCTCCTGGTAAAAGAGCTCCTCCTCCAGGTAGTTGTAGGTGGAGTCAGGGTCGTCATACTCTTCAAAGGCCTGCTCATCCTCAAGGAACTCATCCTCCTGGTTGTAGGCATCCTCAGGGTCGTCAAAGAGCTCAGGCTCCCACTCTTCTGCAGTGTAGCCCTGTTGATGCTTCCTTGGATACCATCGTTGTTGTTTCTTGAGGAGGTTCTTGTTCCATCGTGGCTGAGTCTCGCCTTTTGTTTTGAAGTCCTGCCCGTACAGGTAGTACATGGCCTCCTCCACTTTCGACAGCTCCATGGTTGCTCCAACCTGTGATTGCACCAGGTGTTTCTGTTCCTGCGTCAGGTTGCTTCTTCGAAGGAGCATCCACCCAGACACACTGTCTGGAATTTTGACCCCGTGTTCTTCTATTTCTCGCAACTGCTCTCTGTGTTCCGTGCAGTAAGAGAGAAGTGTCTGCTCCGATTTCCTGCTCAGTTGATAGAAAAACTTCTCCAGGGCTCTTGGCATTTTGACCCGGCTGTCGTATTGGAAGGCCACATCGAGTGCTTTCAACACCCTGTCAAAGCCGTCGGAGGACTCGGAGACAGCTTCGACCATATGTTCAACCTGTTTCCAGGCCGTTCCATGCAAGCTCGTGAGCAAGTTCAAGATGGCTTCCTTTTCCTTGCCCTGGATGGCAAGTTTCTTCTTGTACAGCATTATTCGCTGTCTCCACTCCCGGTAGTCCGCCACCTTGTTGTTGAAGACCGGGATGAAGGTGTCTTTCATCGTTTCGATGGTGCCACCAGCCATCGAGCAGGTAGTAGGCGAACCAGTCGATGTAGTCCCCTCTCCTCCTGGCATCGAAGCGCGTCCAGCGCTCCGCTGCCAATGTTGGTAAGCGGGCGCAAACACTCACCGTTGCCGGGCTCACAAAGTCCCGGACCAAATCCCTTCCACAAGTGGCCGCCACTCAGCAGCCTTTTCCAGTGGCCATCGGCTCGGTGCGAATCGCGTCCCACCGCTGGTTTTGAGTCGGCGGATGCGAATGGATCATGATCAAGTGCTCTCAACCCGAATGTGTGGCACACATTTCACACCCAGGTTTACTCAGTACTCGATCCGTGTGACGGTTTGAGTCAAAACCCCAGCGAGTGTGGTGCCAAGCCACCTCCCTTTGGACTCCACCCGTCGCACGGGTCGCCGCGGGGGGCCGCCGTTCACCACCACTTCCCAGGGGCGGCGTCTGACGGCCCCCGCGCAGCGGAAGTGGACGCGCAGCGTCGGTGGGTCGTTTCCTTTGGAAAACGATCGCCCTAAGAATTTGGTTGAACGACCAGTCCAACTGAAGCCCCCCAAATTCAGCTTGCTGACTGATGGTTAGACGGGACGACCTGATTCGATTTGGGAGCATCCAGCTAATGAGAAGAGCTAAAGCAGCGATTGTGCGCTTTCTACGCGCGGCGCGAGGGGCGCCGCGGTAGAGTGCCCACGAGTTATCAATGCAAGCAGTATGCGGGCAGACATGGATGAAGAAGCTTGGAATCCCAAGACCTTTCACTAGTTTAGAAGGACCCCTTATTAAGTCTTATTAGCCAAAAACAACACAAAAAACAACAAGTTCAGCTGTTGCTGCTGTGTAAGGCAATAACCTAATCAAATAGATTCATTTGTTTTGTCGTACATGTTGCGGAGACTTCTTTCGCCCATGTCTTCCTGCATTTGCTTGCCCCACCACCTTAGGCGGCGGGCTGGCTTCCTTGAAAACAGGGAAGTTGCTTTGTTTTAAGTTCCCTCTTAGAGGGAGTACAGATGGAAAAAACAATCACGCTTTCAAGACACTGGCGCCAGAGACTGTCTACCTGGCCGTACTGACACCTCCATAAAATACACGGTCAAGACCCATTAATATAGACTCTTGATTAACAAACCCCACAATCCAAATGGAAGTTTTATTGATCAAGAGTCTACAATGCCACCATCCACATTTGAATGGAACACCCAAACTACCAAGGATGGCCTGGTTCAAAGGAACAAAAGTCTCTAAGCAAGAAATGGACCGCGGGCAGCGTTGAACGCTGTCCCTTCGCATGTGTTGCTGTGCTTAACATTGAAGTTGCTTATAAGATCTTATGAGCAAACTCAGCTTGTGAACAGACAGGATGTAGTACCCTGACTGCTGCCAATCCCTTGAAAACGATGCCTAAAAAGCATTAAAGCAACACAAAGGTTTTGATCGAGGTTGTACGTTGGTTTTGCTAATTGCTCAAGTGTGTACTTGGATGGGGATTTTCTAGCTTTGACACTGTTGTTGCTATGTTCTGTTGTTGTTGTTGTTGCCATGCATGACGATTTTTTCACTATAGCTGCTAGCCATCATTTTGGACGTGACCGCCTGGTCGCTCATCTGCCTGGTCTCTCATCTGACATCCACCAAGTCGAGCAGACACATCCGACGACCACAGTTTGCTGCCAGGCAACATCCCGAATGTTTCGACGATTTGTCTTGTTTTTTGGAAGGGAAGGTGCCCAGACGCTCCAAACAGCCCTTGGTCCCTCAAAACCTAGGGAATTGAGACCGCAGACCCCTCCATATGAGGGTCCGACCCCTCCATATGAGGGTCTGGGTGTGTTCTTTTTTTTTTGCACTGTGGGGACCCCCCGTTTGATGAAGGACCGCTTCACAGGGGTCCGAGCATCCGATCAGCTTCGGGTATGCAGCCGACCCATCCCTGTGTGAACAATGCGCCCTCCAGGTGCACGCCAGTGGTAGGAGACGCCCTTTGTTTTCTGGGCACGACCGAATCATGTGTTTTGCCATGTTAAGCAGGTTTTGGCTCTGCTCCTTGAGGTGATCTATGGTGATCTGGTTTTTATTTGGCCTATGGGTGAATCATGTCGGCTGCTGGCGTCCTAGGTGAGCGACCGTACGACTGCCGGCTAGACCGTACGAGCACATCCCACGGAGGTTTTGGCATTGATTGGGGGTACTGGACTTCTTTCGGTCTTCCACCGCCTCACTGACTTCTCAAAAGCGTAGCTTCTCAAAAGAAGAGACAATGGAAACCCATCCGCAAAAAATGAGTCGAATGGTGCCAACTCAATGCGTATGTATGAACATGATATGAATTCAGGTTGTGGGGCTTTGGGTTTCTGACAAGACGAACGACGTGGCGGACCCTGTCTTCGTACGATCCGTCACACAAGGCGGTCTAAAATTGGAGGACATCATATGATCAGGATTTCTCAAAGCAACTCTGATATAAATCACACATCAATGACCCCAAAAAACACGGATGCAATACACCGAAATCTACGGTGTTCAGAAAGAGACACGCGTGACGCTGAATTTCACGAAACCGTCAACTCCAGCAACTTCCGGCAGAACCGTCACTCTGAACCGTCACTCTCTTCCGAGTCCCCAAGTCCCCAAGCCGAGGGCGGTGGCCGTGGTCTCCCCGTTCTCGCCGCGCCGACCGCCCGCGTGTCCCACCCGCCATGGCCACCCCCAACGTCTACCAACCCGTGGGGGAGCCGGTGCGCCCGCCACGGCAAGGCACGGTGTTTTTTTTTCGAGCGAAACGAAGGACGGGGAGGGAGAGAGAGCGAGAGAGAGGGTGATTTGGTTCCAGGAGCATCCGACCATCTGGGTGTCCTGGCGTGTTCGATCCCTAATACGAAGTAGTGGGCGTGGGCCACGGGTAGTCCATCTCGGGCACCCAGATGGTCGGATGCTCCGTCCGTGGGTGACGTTCGTTCATCAGTGGTTTGGGTGGTTTGATCGATGTTGATCGCTCGTGGAGCCCCCAGTAGCGTCCTTGCTCCTAGTAGCGATGCCAGGAGCCCCCAGTAACGTCCCTGCTCCTATAGTAGTGAGGCCAGGAGAGAGTGGGTTGATGAAAAGTCCCGTGTTTCTGTTGTTGAAGTCCTTTTCCCGCCCAAACCCTCTAATGCTTCGTACTCCTATACATAGGAGAGTACGACTAATTCGGCGTCATCAGTCGTCCCTGTTGGACTGGTTTCGGGTCACTGACTTGTTCCATGTTCAGGAACACAGTGACCTTCTCTTGGGGTCTACCTCTGGTGCCAAGGTACTTTCCCCCCCCCTCCAAGTGACCTCCGCAGGCTTTGCTGAGGCGTGGTCCGAGGCAGCACGGAACCTGGGCCCCGCGGTGGGGATCCTGTCGGCCGCGGCGGAGCCTCGGCGTCGACGTGGACCGAAGGGAAGAAGACGGAGCCGAGCGTCATCCGAAAGCCGATGTAACTGGAACAAGTGCATCGCTTCGTTCGTAACAAGTGCCTTACTAGTAGTAGCAAGACGCAGTTCGACCATCAGTTCGACCTTCATTTCGACCTTCCGAGCCGCGACTTTCAAGTGCAGCGACGCTCATCGAGTGCCCAGAGCGCGGACCCGAAGCTATGGAGGGGTCGGAACCCGAATCCGAACGACGGGTCACGGGGTCTGGGGTTTCTCACCATTCCCGATCGGTTTGCTTCGGGACCAGGAAAGGGCTGTATCATGATGTTCGCAGCAATACCACGCGATTCCCCACTTTTTTTTGCGCCGAGAGTTTTGGGGAGGTATTATATTTGTTTTCAGTTTCTGTGGGTGTTGTTGGGGCTTTGGGTTTGAACATTTCTGGGATCACCTCTGCTGTAGATATTTGGACACGTGTCCGAAGCCAAGAAATGCTTGGCCCACTATCCGCGAAAGCCCTTGTTTAGACTGCTCCATCGATTCCCAAGTGTTGTCTTGGATGTCGATTCCAGACAAGCAGTTTACTGTAGTTGACTTGAAGACCCTTTTCGATGTCTTTTGAGGTACCTAGGTACCCGCTCACCACTAAGGGATTTGGGCTTACAGCATTGAGCCATCTTCTCCTTCATGGATTGGGGTCACACACACACACACATGATCCCTAGAACTCCAGTCGTACCTCCTCAGGTTCGGTATGACTGGACCCGAACATGGCACCCGGGCCCCCCAGTCCCACCTTCGAAACGAAGCCCCTTGGAGCCCCAGGAGATACAACAATTCTTCCTTGCTAAGGATCCGAACGGACCCTCCATGGCAAGGGGTCGAACCCTGCTGTTCACAAGGGTTCCCTACAGGTCAAGGACCTCATTTGACTCAATCCGGTCATGCAAAACCAGTACTCAGTGAGGTCCGGTCAAGGACCAGGTTTAACTTGGCCCTTGGACTTGTAGGGGTTTGTACCCTCAAAAACCCTCAAAACGCTTGTTTTGTTTCGGGTGCGGATCCTTGGGGCTACTCTTTTTTCTTTGGACCTCCCTGACCTCCCTTGGCCGTGACTTGACCCGTCTCTTGCCGCTGTGGCTGGGTCAATGAGTCCGCCTCCCAAGGCTTTCACGTTCTTGGTGCCGGCCTTCCTGGCGATGGTGAACCACCTGCGTCCCGATCACGTCGACCCGAGGACGACGACAGCACAGCCACAGATCCCACTGGTGGATGTCACGGAGGCGCTGGCTCTTGGGTGCTGGGGCCGGACTGGATTGTGACCAACGCAGGGTTCGCTTCGCAGGGGGACGGCTTGACACGCGACACAACGGTTGGGGGTAAACTCCCAAAAAAGACAACAATGGGGGGGGGGTCTCCCAACTCGAGCAAGCTGGGCGAGTGATCTGTTCGGCACCCCCCCAGGATCTCAGGATCTCGCACATCCGGTCAAGCACCCAAGGATCTGATTGGTTTCCCTTTGTGGACTGGCTTTCCACTTACTGTAGTTGGTTTGTTTATAAAAGAGCCCAACTGGCCCCGAACCAAACCATAGGGGTTTTGAGGGTCCAGTCCAGACCCCTGCAGAGGATTCTGGTCCGATCCCTGCAGAGGTTCGGGGCCGAACGGGTCGCGTCTGGGTATGACGTTTCGTGTCGATCGGAATGTTTTCTTGATTCTTCTGAGAACGGGGACGTTCTCGGACGGGATGCAACGTAGAAGTTCACGCCAGAAGGTTTTTTTGTCAAATACGTTACAGTAGTCAGTCTCTATGTGACCACCTGGTCTCTCTGGAAGTCCGTTCGACCATTAAAACGTGGTTGATCTATATGTTGATCTGGTGTACTCGTAGAGTTTACACACCATGAGTAAAACCCAATGGTTCTATTGGGGTTCAGCCTATTAAATGCTTTCTAGGAGGGTCTCCCAACCCGACCCACCGAGTCGACCGTGTTTTTGGGCTCGCCCAGTTCCAGGCACCGCAGACCACTAGCCTCTTCGACTGGGAGGGAT